GTTAATCGTGCGAAATAAATCGCACGTTAATTCTCCCAAATTGGCAAAAATACCAATTTTCAAACACTCACAACTTAGCAAAAAATAATCACAGGTAAAATATATTTTTTTTACTTTTCAGCTCAGGACAACAATACCTTTTGAATTATATTTAAAAAAACCCACCCCGAGCCCAAATATTCCGTTACTTTCGTTACGAAAGTCGGAACAATAAGCAATTTTGAAAGTACTTAATTTCAGAGCATTGGTTTTGAAATGAGAAGTATTATCTAGATTTGTTGCAAGAAATAACAGATTTTTTGGTGAGATTCAATCTAAGTTCGTTGTTCCTAGCACAGAAAACTGGTCATATTTATTTTTGATTTTAAAAAAGTTTTTTTTTCTGCAGCGGGGCTGAGGAACTTGTTTGGCTGAGCAACCAACTATTAACAGTTTAATTGAAGTTTTACAGAAGTTAGGTCTAAGTAATGTTATGCTAGCATGATTGCGAGTTCTTGAACAACGCTAAAATTGGTCCGCAAATCGATATTTATTTTTTACAATGCGATAATTTTTAAATATCGACAGACTCATGGCAAAAACTTTTTTTCAGATCATACATCAATCAAACCCTTTTGACATGCATTTGTGGCAACAGATTTTGCTTGAAAAAAAAAATAGAAGCAATTTTGGTTGTATTAATAGGCTGCAAAAACGCTAATAAGAACAAGGGCAGCAGATTGCTGTGCATGTAACACAGAAAGTTCTGACCTCAAAAAGACAAAAAATAGCAAAAAAAACATTTGTCAATAATTCTCCTTGTTGTAGTGGGATAGCTTCATAAGAAAGCGTGGAACTTAGTTTCACTCAACAAAATTTGTATAATAGGTGTATTCTTAATAAAACACTAAAAAATAATAACTGAGTTAAAACTACATTTTCACGGCCGAAACAAAACGCTGAAACTATCTTTCTTTTCAAGACTACTTGATTACTTTAATCACTCAAACCTAGACAAACATTTTAAAGTTCAATTATAACTCTAACCAGTTTCATTCGACTATGTTCTACTGTCATTTGTTAAAAATACGAGTGAAATGTATTTATTTTGATATATAACTCGATGATTAAAAAGGGTACCTTATGAAGCGAGGAAAACAAAAAAAATGAAACACCGACAAAAGCAAAAAAGACGAAACCTCTCTCTACCTTCAGTGGTCAGAAAAATGTACTTGATGACTTTTTTCTTTTAACCGTTGAGTTAATGTAAAGATTAGCTAGATTTCGAGAATAGATTATTCAGCCAACTGAGTGTTTAAGGTTTGTTTCAATAACATGGTTATCGAGATATACAGCTGCTCAGATTTCATATGTTTTCCAACAATATGAAATCTAATCTAGAAAGTACCCGGGGATTTAAACCTCGAGAGAGGACAACCAAAATAATTTCAAAGAATAAAAAAAAATTTCAAAAAACATCCAACAAAAAAGAAATGATGTCAGACAAAAAACATCCCCGACGTAATTTTCCAAATATAAATGAAAAAATCAAGGAAAAATGTAGATCATTTTTTGAAACAAACAATTGTGACAGCAGTTATGTTGATATTCAAACAAAAATTTGACAACTAGACTAAAACCGAAAACACCCAAAAACGTGGAGTGCATCAATAAATGCATACATGCAACTGAATTAGGCACTCATCTAACAAAAATTGGGCTGAAAAGTTGAGCTTGAGTGATACCATTAAAAACCGAAAATTTTTACCTCTATTAGTAATATTTTGTCATTATTGTAATATTTGAAGTTAAGTTATATTTTTTTAAAAATAGAAAGCAATCTCGAATTGTTTGAAAATGCTTTTTAACTTCATCTAATCCTTTCATGTATTCAAATAATTATAAATATTATTGCCATACATCTAAATTAATATGAAAAACATCAAGAATTAGGGAACTTCAAAAACTGTTTAAACTAATATGATAAACTTTATGGTGTCAGGACTATTTGCCCCAGGACAACTAGCCCTATGCCGTCTTGCCCTATACTAAATTGCCCTGAATGAAAACTTGTCCTAAGCCAACTTGCCCTATATGACAACTTGTCCTATACCGTTTTGTCCCACAATTAACACTTCTAGTTAATTATTTGATGTTCAAATCGATTAATGCTTAGGATCAGCAAGTGGTAAACTGAACTCGTTTTGAAAATAAGAAAGGAAGGAAACTGGCTGAAAATCGTTTATATTGAGCCTCAAATATCATCTAAGCCATAACTTGACTTAGTATGGCAAGTTGATGTAGGACAAGATGAGCTTGTTTTCTGAAAAATTCTAAACTTTCGAATTTCAACGGAAATATAGATACTATGAGAGCTCTTCGATTTTTTAGAACAATTTATGATTGGCTTTTCTTTAATAAAAACAACCCAATTCGAGACAACTGGATCAAAAGGTAAGTTTTTAATTTCACAGGGAAATCTGAAAATTACATTCGACTTTCGAAACAACTAAACTAAGGGTAATATACGTTTTTTTGTGACCTTTACACTTTTGCTGTTTCATAGTGGAATTTGCCTTCTTTTTGACAAAAGAAACGATTTGAAATCAAACCGAAAAAATGCGCTTTTGAGCCTGAACTAAATTTTAAACTTTTCCTGAAAAAAAATCATCGCGATCTATATAAGAGTCTGAACTACCTTTATCGACTCTCAAACAGAACAAAGATTGCTTCGAATTTCACCAAAAGTATTATGGTGATTTTTGCCCCAAAGAGCCTTACCAAAATTTTACCACAAAATTGGTAATTTTGGCTTTTTAAAATTGATCAAGAATTACTCTGAAATTAGCATGTTAATTATTGAGAAAATTATGTCAAATGAAGCCCCTTACACAGCCCAATAAAATTCTATTAATTAAACTTTCCAAAAAATGTTGTAAATTTTTTGAAAATTGATTTAAGCCAAAGATTTTTAGATAGCATAAATGACCTTTTTTATTGCTTTCAACCAAAAATAAATTTCCGTATAAAAACTAAAAGAAGTTGCACCATTCTAGAGTTTGTTGGCCTGTGTAAGAGGCTTCTTTTGATATAACTTTCGTTTCAATTAACTGGGTGGTTTCACCGTTACTCTTGAGTCATTAAAATAATCCAAAATGACTCAGTCAGGGTTAAAATTTTGGTAGAAATATTCAGAGAAAAAATTGCACCATAGTTATGGAGAAAATCTAACCAATTTTTGTTCTCTCCAATTTTGTCCAACCTTAACCCAATTTGAGAAAAAACTTGTTCAGTTTTCGAATATTGATCGTTGTCCGGTTAATAGAAATCAGCACTGTAGTTGAGGTAGGCTGATAAAAACAGAAAAATTCTTCTGGCATTTCGGTCACACTGTTATCTATTAAGCAATGGCTTCGTTTTCAAATTCCATTATGCAAATTTTTTGAATGATGTTAATTGAGAAAATAAGTATGATAAATCATGGCCGCAGTTAAAACTAATAAAATTTGTTTTTGATCTTGTAAAAGTAATTTCATAGCTTTATTATTACAACTTATGCAGAAAATTATCATCATATATGCTTCGAGTTATTTTTCTACGGATCATTTTTTTATTTGAAACAGGTGATTGTGAAGAAACTTCCTCATTGAACAAATCAAAATATCTGTTTTTATAGTTATTATGACTGAAAATGTGATGCTACGATAAAAGGCACGTAGAAAAAATTTCTTCACAATAGTTAGTTTGATCACCACACCAAAGTTCATTGCATTATGACAACGTGGGTAGGGGAGTGGAAAAGAACCCGGCTCATATTATTCCATTATGGGCAAACTATTGTTAGAAAAACTAGCAGTTATCAACAGGCCCCAGATTCTAGTTACATAAATCTGTTCGTAATAACAAACTAGATCTGAGAAAATGGAGGAAATAAAGTAATCAGAGAGATACGCTTAAATTATTTTAATTAGTTCTTTTGAAATTCTCTAGAAAACCGACAGTTTCCCAAACATTATACGCCAACGTTGGCATCTTCACCAAAGCCTGTCATCACAGTGGAATAGATGGTTTAAGGCTGTTATTTAATTAATTTTTTTCAATAAAAAAAAATAATAATTCCAGGCAATTTTTGATACAACAAATCAGAAACCAAGCATTCGAAAAGAAACTGAACATTTTTTTGCAATTAACTTTTTCAGTTTTTTCTTTTCTAACAGAAAGTTTAGAGCGTACAAAAACTAAGTAAACAAGTACTAACGTTACCCTCTGGAACATAAAAAAAATACTGAAAAAACCGACAAAAAATTTCCGAAATAAAACACCCGGCAAAAGAACCGACAATAATTGGTACGGAATCGAAAAAAGCCGACAAAAAATCAATTTATAACTGAAAACTTTTTCAGCTGTAGACCCAGAATTACTTCAGTAGATCTAGAACAGCTGTTAAATTACAGCTGTTAAAAGAAGAATTTGGCTAAAAGCCAAAAATTTATGGTGAATAATAAAAAAAAAATTTCAAAAAAAAATTGATATTTTTTCACATATTATTTTTCTAAGTTTTTTACGGAAGGCTTAAAAAGTGATTAAGGTTTTTCAAAATTTTAACATTCGACTTTAATCGCTACACTAAACAGCAAAATTTCTTTGAACAAAAACATTAGTTAAATAAGCCGAGTGAATTAAATTCGACCGACCTGTGCCAAAAATCAAGCAAAAACTCGAACCCTAAAAATTAATTTTTAACTCTTTACGTTAACGGCATATATTTTGCCAATACAGAAACCATACTATTAATTAGCAATAGAGCGGTACACTAACCATGCTTGTAGTGGGTATAAAATGTACTGATTCCCATTTGATCTTTCTGAGAACAAAGTTGTTTACGGGAAAAAAGTCGAGTAGACGATTGCAATACTCTTGCTCATCGCAAGAGTAATTATTTTTAATCGGAACTGCGCAAAAATGAGGGGTAGACTACGACAAAAAAGTTTGATTTTTCAAATTCTTTACTTTTTGTTCAAATTGGGAATTGATGATTTAATTAAATGCAGTGAGAAAAGATAAAAGATTCAAGACCTGATATTGACCAGAGAAGCCTTGTTAACTTATTTATAATAACTGCATAAAAACAAAAGCAGTCCGACTGCTACAGATTCTACCAGCAGAATAGCTGCAAAAATAGTGATTTGTGAATCGCCGCTACTAGTTGTTTCTTCTTCCGTCTGCAACGACTCGGAGTCTGTTTTATCTGTTGCAGCGAAGGGGTTACACAAGTTCGTGTTACAGCAGTAGGAAAATTCTCCGGGTGCTTCCGGGGTCATGCCGTATTGAGGACACTTCTTCGCACTGGCACACTCGTGAAACCTGTCCTCCAACTTTTCAATCAAATTCACACTCACCTGAATAAAGAGGCAATGAATTTCAAGGTTACAAAAGAACCTTACATGTTAACCTCCTCCTCCTAAAGCGTTTCGGGATAAAACTTACAAGGTTCTTTTTTTGTGGGGGGGGGGGCAAAAATTACCAGTTTGTGGTTCAGGGGCGATCTAGGATTTTCTCGACTGGACGGAATTTCCGTAAAATTTTTAAATTTGGTCGACCTAATTTTTAGGTCGACCAAATTGACTCTCTGAGGCTCCCTATCCGAGAACTTTTCGAGGGCTTCCTAAAAAACCTATTTTGAAAAGTTTTGCAAAAAGGCAAACTTTTTTAAAAAAAAGAAAAACAGGACTAAATGCTCCCTTTCAAATTTAGCATTTAGGGTTGGGGCCGAAAATGGATGTCATATAATTAAACCGAACGGAGACTCAGTGAGGGGGCCAAGTTCTGAAGAGGGGACATCCGCCCCTCCCCTAAATCCCCCACAGCTTGTGTTTAGTTACTTATCGGCAGATTTCTCTAAACTTCTGCCTTGAAATCATTTTTGATCTAGCAAGCCTGTTTCCATTATTCAATCAGATCGCTAAAAGTTACTTGTTCTGAGCAAGCTTCAAAAGCAAGCTTCAAAAGCAATGCAAAGCTGCTAGTTATTCCATATCGTGAATCTTTTTGAGATAATTTAGGTATTTTGAGGCGAATTAGTCAAGTAAAGAATCGTTAAAATATTTCAAATGTATAAGGGTTTCAACAGGTTTGCAAAACCATGGTAGGCAAGACATTCAGGTGAAAAAACATCGAGAGATTTTATTTATTGTGACTCGCATCGAAAGAAGTCAACTTCTGGGTTTTATCTTAAATTACAGCGCGATCCGTGTCCAAAATAAGAGTCTTCAAAATAAGCTATAAACAGAAAGATCTTCGAAATTTTCGACGTTATTAGATAAGAATTACTATGCAAGCCAATCGAGCAATCGGAATTTTAATTTATTTAACATTACATCTTGAATTGAATTTATTGAAGTTAGAGCGATAAAATGAAATTTTTTCAAGCAAACTTATGGGCACGAGCAAAAAAAAATTCCAGCTTATTCTAGTTGCTTTATTCTATTCGCTAAAGTTATATTTTTTTTCACCAAACCGATTGAGAGATGAAAACTCAAAATTGGGGGGGGGGGGGGGGCAAAAATTACCAGTTTGTGGTTCAGGGGCGATCTAGGATTTTCTCGACTGGACGGAATTTCCGTAAAATTTTTAAATTTGGTCGACCTTATTTTTAGTTCGACCAAATTGACTTTCTGAGGCTCCCTATCCGAGAACTTTTTGAGGGCTTCCTAAAAAACCTATTTTGAAATGTTTTGCAAAAAGGCAAACTTTTAAAAAAAAAAAAAACAGGACTAAATGCTCCCTTTCAAATTTAGCATTTAGGGTTGGGGCCGAAAATGGATGTCATATAATTAAACCGAACGGAGACTCAGTGAGGGGGCCAAGTTCTGAAGGGGGGACATCCGCCCCTCCCCTAAATCCCCCACAGCTTGTGTTTAGTTACTTATCGGCAGATTTCTCTAAACTTCTGCCTTGAAATCATTTTTGATCTAGCAAGCCTGTTTCCATTATTCAATCAGATCGCTAAAAGTTACTTGTTCTGAGCAAGCTTCAAAAGCAAGCTTCAAAAGCAATGCAAAGCTGCTAGTTATTCCATATCGTGAATCGTTTTGAGATAATTTAGGTATTTTGAGGCGAATTAGTCAAGTAAAGAATCGTTAAAATATTTCAAATGTATAAGGGTTTCAACAGGTTTGCAAAACCATGGTAGGCAAGACATTCAGGTGAAAAAACATCGAGAGATTTTATTTATTGTGACTCGCATCGAAAGAAGTCAACTTCTGGGTTTTATCTTAAATTACAGCGCGATCCGTGTCCAAAATAAGAGTCTTCAAAATAAGCTATAAACAGAAAGATCTTCGAAATTTTCGACGTTATTAGATAAGAATTACTATGCAAGCCAATCGAGCAATCGGAATTTTAATTTATTTAACATTACATCTTGAATTGAATTTATTGAAGTTAGAGCGATAAAATGAAATTTTTTCAAGCAAACTTATGGGCACGAGCAAAAAAAAATTCCAGCTTATTCTAGTTGCTTTATTCTATTCGCTAAAGTTATATATTTTTTCACCAAACCGATTGAGAGATGAAAACTCAAAATTGTTGTTTCGTAGCGTGAATCGACCAGCAAAAACTTTAAGCCAGCAACTGAACAAGAACAATTGAATTTAAGGCTGCTTTCATAAATTGAGTGTATTCGGATAAGTTGAATTGTTTTCAAGCAAGTTTATGAGTAATGAAACGTACAAATTTTATAGATTGAACTTGAAACTATGTAATTCAGTAGCTTGCAAAAAATGTTAGCCAAGCAATTCACCCTATGAAACAACTTGAACTGTTTAAAAATTTATTCGCTGGATTTGTCATCACTTTCTTTGGTTTACTACGTTGTTTAGGTTTGTCATGATCATCAGTAATAACATCGAATGTGTTTTTCAATCATTAGGGTTATAAAATGCCGTAAGACACTGGTTTTTCTCAATTATGGACATTCCTAACTTAAAACAACCATTTAGTAAGGACCAGGATGAGCATGAACGATAAAACTTGTACATCATGAGTGCTAAGATCGAACGTTTATACCTCGTACGAGCAACAGCGTGGAAGTTCATACGCAGTACAGTGTCTGTAGGTTTATGGTAACAAGTAGTGGATAAGCTGGTATCAGATCTCTCCACTAAGAACTCTAAAAAAGTCAACGTTGTTTCATAGAGTAAATCGCTTGGTGAACAATTTTTGCAAGCTACTGAATTACATAGTTTCAAGTTCAATCTATAAAATTTGTACGTTTTATTACTCATAAACTTGCTTGAAAACAATTCAACTTATCCGAATACACTCAATTTATGAAAGCAGCCTTAAATTCAATTGTTCTTGTTCAACAACATTTATTGAACAAGCTATCGAACAACAACATTTCATAAGATAAAAGTAACGCTTTTTTCAAGCAAACTTATGAACAATAACTTTTAAAGCAAACAAATTAACTTTGATTTTAGATCTTGATACGGTTCGCAAAAAGCTTTAATGTTCGCCCAGGCAAACCATCAATGAATGAGAAAATTTCAATGTCGTTTAAAACGTGGGAATTGGTTCTCGAAACATTTGAATTTTTTCAAGCAATCTTTTGAGCAAACAATTTTTAGTTCTTTCAAAGCGTAACAGAAAGAAATAGGAAAAATTATTCTGTCAACCATAAAAAAATATTCATTGTTAGTATTCATTAGAAATGAGATTTGAGAGGAAAGACAACGAGGCCAGATGAGACATAAATCTTTAGCCTCGGTATGTAATTAAAATTTTTTACTACAAGGAAATTGTTTTTTTTTGTCTGGAAAAAAAACCAATTTATTTTTGTCCACCTGTGATGGAAGCTTGCTTGCTAAAATAGGCTACGAATAGTGTTTTCAGAAAAATTCATCAAATTCTTCAGAATGCCTAATTTATGAGCTTCTGAAAGGCCAAGTTCTGTATTCAAAACTTCCATCTAAACTTTTTCTTGCAGGTACGCAGGCAAAACGTTGATTTTTGAACTTTTAATTTTTTTTTTCAAGTATCCAGAACTTTTCAAAAGACTCGTTAAATCGTGCGTATCTGCTTAACTGCGAACTTCTGGATTTAACTGCGATTTTCTGGATTTGAAAAATGTGGCATTTGACTCGCAACACCCGAACTACTTTCCCCTTAGCATGCAAGTACGTGAACAAAGACTAGAAATTGAAGATATCTTTGAACTTTTTTCCAACTTTCGGAACTACTCGAGGAAATTGTAAAAACAACCGTATCTCCTGACCTACAAAGATTGCGAAAAGCAACTTTTGACATAGAAATGCCAGGCTGAACTACATTCTCATAAGCACGCAAGTGCAGATAAAAAAAGTTTTAAAAACCGGTTTTAAACTTATGAGAATTGCTTTTAGTTTTTTGGTTTTTATTTATATAAAGAAAAATTTCTAAGAGATTCGTTTTCGTCAAAATTTTTCAAGCAACAAGCTTTTGAAAAGTTAAGTTGTATCATCAACATCGCAACCCTAAAATAAACCACAGTTATCATTCAAGTACAATTAAAATCATAAAAACGAGAAAACTTAAAATGTCAATGCATTTCGAGTAACAAAACTCATCATCAGGGCATATCTTAAGAACAAAAGAACGCTGTAAAAAGAGCAAAAAAAAATTACACGCATTGGTAGCACCATAAAATTTTTTTAAAAAAATTATGGGCAGGCAACAACGGAGCTGCAACAATAGTGAACCACGCGCGCCACCATTCGGAGTCAATGGAATCTCACCAACAAATCCTTCGATTTGAATTCATCGCGGCTATTGATAGATCGTCATAACTGGCAAACACTCAGAGCTTCTAATAATAAAAGATTTTCCAGATGTTTCTGCTTTTTAAAATTTTTGTGCTTGACGGAATTGTTGATTTAGGAATATTAAAAGCATCTAAATGTTGTCGAACTGGAGCAGCCTTGTAACTATGTAACCGCAGACGAGTCGTATGATGACGGATAGTTCGCCCGACAGATAGGGCGTTGAACCCCACATCAGTAATTTTTTACAGGACACGACTTTGGAACAATAAAGCAACAGGCTCGTCAAGCACAGACACATATTGACGTAATTTCTCAGTAAAAAGAACTAACTGTACTGGAAATTAACTGTCAGAATAAATTTTTCTCAGAAAATTGTCAGTAACAAAACTACGATACTGAATAAAAGCAAAAAAATTTGTCATCAATTTTCTTTGGTTTACTAGGTTGTTTAGGTTTGTCATGATCATCAGTAATAATATCGAAGTGTTTTTCAATCAATAGGGTTATAAAACGCCGTAAGACACTGGTTTCTCTCAATTATGGACATTCCTAACTTAAAACAACCATTTACCATTTAGTAAGGACCAGGATGAGCATGAACGACAAAACTTGTACATCATGAGTGCTAAGATCGAACGTTTATACCTCGTACGAGCAACAGCGTGGAAGATCATACGCAGTTCAGTGTCTGTAGGTTTATGGTACCAAGAAGTGGATAAGCTGGTATCAGATCTCTCCACTAAGAACTCTGATAACAAGAGACAGACATGGACTGTATAGGTCTCAATTGTGTGTTGTTTTTGGGAACGTTAGCCAGACCATACAATCGAGCATTTTGACCACCAGTGGAGCGAAACTTCAACTAAAGGTCTTCAGATATGAGATCACGTCTCCTCAAAACAGACAGCTCAGCATTGAATCTCTCATATTCTGCAATAGATACTTCTTTAGCGTTTTTACGGTGATTCGTAACGTCATATACCTCGAACTGATGACCACTAGTTAATTGCTGGACTTTAGAAACGTAAAATGCTTTGTACTTTAAACAAAACCCCAAGCCTTTGTCAGAAGGAACTGCGACAAGATTATTCGCCTTTAAGTACTGCTTAGCTTTAATAACAGTTCTGTTTTGTAACTGTTTCGTACACTGCTGACAAAATAAGAGAGCGTTTGCATTAATCTTGTTTATCACGTCAACGTTGCGATTTTTGTCTGCTAGTTTGTACAGGAGGTTGCTGACATTGGCAAAAATAATTTTTGTTGAACTTCAGCAAAACGCGAAATTTCAGTCCCTTGCTAACAATATCAATAACAAACTGCAGTGGCTTGAAAATTTTTTGAGGACCACAAGCGAATATTAATTGCTGAACAAAGGTTGTTCTTGTTGGGATGACAATTGAAGATTTTTGCATGGCGAATAGAATATTCAGTTTTTAAACGGTCAGTGAACCCTTTGATAGAAATTTAAATAATGGAACAAGAAAAAAGGAGTAAAAAAAAACGTAAAGCAGCTCGGAGTTCTTCTGAAGTCTTCTGGATGTCTTGAAGTTGACAGATTGCTTTAGGATGTTCAAGTTTCAATAAACTCAATTGGAACTTTCTCAGTGTGATTACGAAAACACTCATTCTGACGGATAGGAAGGCGCAGAAACCTAGGGACAAGCTTCGTTGAGGGATAATCTTTAGGATTTTTTTGCGTAAAATAAGGCGAACAGACTTTTCACAAGTTCGACTGTACTGAGTAAACAGACCCTGTGCGTTGTAAAATGATATAAGGATGACAATTCGTCTAAAAGGAAATCATATTCTCAGTAGAGAATCATAGAAAACGAAAAACTGTTTAATGTCAATGAATTTCGAGTAACAAAACTAATCATGAGGACATATCTGGAGAACAAAACAACACTGTAAAAAAGCAAAAAAATTACACACACTGGTAGCACCAGAAAATTTTCTAATAAAAATTGTGGGTAGGCGACAACGAAATTGCAACAAAACTGAAATTATGATAAAATATTATTATAAAATTTGAATTTAAGTTGAATTTCTAACAGTTGAGAAATTAATTTTCAGCAAATATCGTAAATTCGTCCAAATCTCCAAAGCTATGAGATTGCGGTAGCCTGAAAACCGCAATTAAACTAAAACACTATAAAATTTTTACCGGTAGCATGCAGCTAAGGGTTTAAAATATTAATAATAATTTAATAGTTTCTCATAGAAATTTTTCATGATAATTTGAAAATTTAATCAACTTATGTTTCGCAAAATTTCAAGGCAGTCTGTATAGACAAATGGCCTGGACTTAAATAAAAAATTCTCAGTAAAAAAATTATCCAGACTTCGGATTCAAAAAATTTTGGGAAAATTCACTCTTTAACGTCCCTTTTCTTGGCCTGCGCCACTCAGTCATGACTTGCATTGCCTTGAGCTGGCCCTCTTTGCTCTGCGCTGCCTTTCTTTGTGCTGTATTGCCCTGCTCTTCCTTGTTTTGCGATGCCCTGCTTCTCTTGGTCTATAGCGGCCACGCCCTGCCCTGGCTTGCGCAGCCCCTCCTTGCTCTGCGATGCCCTGCCCTCCTTGCTCTGCGCTACCCTTTCTTGATTTGCGCTGCCCTGCCATGACTCGCCTTGTCTTGCGCTGTCCGTATGGACGCTGCCCAGACTTGCTCTACGCTGACTTGCCCCTTCTTGCCTAGCGGTGCCCCTCCCCCTTTCTTGCTCTGAGCAGCCCTGCGTTGTCTTCCGATGCCCTGCCCTGCCTTGTGCTGCCCCCTTGTTCTGCGCTTCACTGTTATCCTTGCTCTGCACTGCATTGCTCTCCTTGCGCTGCGCTGCATTGCTCTTCTTGCGCTGCGCTGCCTTGTGCTGCGTTTCCCCTACTGGCCTTGCGCTGACCTGCCTTTCCTCCCACTAACCTGCCTTGCCTTACGCTCTCCTGCCTTGCGTTGCCCTGCCTTGGCCTTGCCAAGACCCTCTTTGCCGTGCTTCGCCCCGGCCATTTTTTTTCTTACATTGCCTCACCTAGCCCTGCCCTTTATGCATTGCGCTGCCCTGTACTTAAAGCTTCAAGACAACCTGTCTGGAAGTTTGACCTTGACTAGATTAAAGACCTTAAATTGAAATTTATCCGGACTTCAGATTGAAAAAAAAAGCTTCAAGAACATTCATGCCTTTCGCTTAAACATTGACTCTAAAACTTTTTGTTAACAATTGTCACCAACAAAAAATCGCTCAAACAATGCTTCCTTGGAGTTTTTAGCGTTGCGTTTTAACAACTGATGTTTTGGGATTCCAATGACAACGCCTGTTGTTTCCAAGCTTTATCAAACATACAAAGAGATTGGCGCACTGCTGTTAGTCGAAAATTAAAAAAGGAAATATAGCCAACCTTTTTTTGCAGGAAAACATCAATTAATGTATATTTTGGGAGTATAATGTTCATTGCAGTAAGTAATATGCATCTTACACGACATCCAACGACCGGGTAATCGGTAAGGTCGCCGTCAACGCCATCATGTCTCCTCAACTTCTCGCACTTTACTAAAACATAACTTATCAGAGTAACAAATAACAGCAGAAGCGATGGTTGCTCTAAAATAAACACTGAATGAGTCACTATGGGCTGAAATTTTCAACAAATTTTTTTTTATGTTATGCATTTTTTTGTCCTTATATCAAAAAAAAATAATGTTAACTGTATATCTCACCTGGTCCTTCCTCGTTGCTGTTGCTTCGCTTGGAGTAGCAAGTCATGTTCTCCTCTGGAGGGTAGATTCCGTCACACAACACGCCTTTGCCTAAACCCAATAGTCGATTGTCATCCGTCTTCGGATTGAAAACGGACGATGATCTTAGTGAGAAAACAACTTTGCTGCCTTTATCTTACGAAAAGATTCAGTTCCAAGAGCCTATCTTCAGTGGCTTCGCTTGGTTGTTCCGATCAAAAAGTAAGAAAATGTAAGTGCTTATGATTGTCATTTTTTGCAGCAAAGACACGACGTATCGGGCGAGTCATATAAATCATATTGAAAGCATTTGACCTGAGTCAATATATTACAAAAATGAACACGACTGCTTCTATCAGGGCGTAGTCCTGAACGATCCGACTGCCAATTGAGGTCTATGGAGCACTGTTCGTTTGAAAATTTGACATTGTTTAAGTTTGATTGACGTCAAATCAACAACACCTTTTGGATGATGTTAAAAATCTTTTGAAAATGGCTAATTAAAACGTAATATCTTGAGAAAAAATTACCTCGATCAAAAATCTTCGAAAGTCAGAACAAAAACAAAATAGCCTTTTTCTTCAGTAGTTATCATATCATCTAGTAGTAATTACCGACAAAAATAAGTGAGTTTGAAAAAAAACCGTTTATAGATAAACTAAATTCTAGATAAAACTTACATGAAAAATATGCCATAAAAAACACCCACTCACATCAATAACCCATTTTTGCCAGTGTGTAGGATCGGTGATCGTAATACCTTTCGGACAAACTAAGAATTCGACAAATACTATTGACTTCGGAATTGCATGCAGTATACTAAAACTAATGGTGAGCAGGTGGCTTGATTTTGGCTACTATACAAGAAAATTATAAAACTAAAAAAGAAACAAGCGAGTACAAAATTTATCGAATTTTTAATTAAGTGGTCATTCCCATGGCTGAAAAAAAGAAGTGAAGTAAGATTGGCAACCTTCAATGGAAAATAATAAAGCTAACTCTATGAAACTCAAAGGCCGATAAGAGAAGATTTGACCCAGGCATGCAAAGTTAGGGACCCCTCGGATCCCCTGGCAGAAGTGATGACGGTTCCAAAGTACAAAACGCACACTTAAGAAGCAGTAAATGGGAAGGGGATTAAAATGTTATAGACCTAGATGAGGGAAGCTCCCAGTTTCACACGGAACTAATTCCAGATTTGGTAAAGCGACGCAGAAGATTAAACGAGCCGATGGACAACAACGACCCTGAGGCATGCCTACTGGATCTGACCATAGCCTACCTGAGAGTGAGCCGGCTTTCTGGGAGATGTTGAGACGATATGGTCTTTCCTGGAGAGTCTGATGTATCTTCACGAGTCGGCAATGTACTTTATCGAAGGCAGAGAATGAGACAACGACACTTGGCACCCCGAGATAGGTTTGAGAGAGGGCTACCCTTGTTACCCGGGCCTATTCAAAATTTATCACTAGATTGTCATGAGTGTTGCGGAGAGAGTTAGAGATGCGAAGCCGAAAGAGAAGGAAAAAACTGTTGAAGTTAGATGAGGCTGAATTCCAGGGAGCAAATTACCGATCCCGGACAAAGTCGACAACTACAACAGCGAAGCATCCACTGTAGTTTTCTCCTTATCTCTTTTCGCAGACGACACGACCCTCATTGGCGACGCTGAAGAACTGGAAGATGGAGTGAGAGCGAAGACCAACGAAGGCAAGGAAGAGAGGCTGGAGTTTGGCAAATATGAGTCCGGAGAGACGAGAGGATGCTATGAGTGTGATGTGGACCCGAAGAAGATCTGAAACACAGGAAGAATAGAGCAGTGAAGTTGTGGGCGAGAGTGAAAGCGCGGATTAAGATCACTCGGATCACCAAGGTACATCAAGCAAGAGTGGTGGAAGCTTGTTTGGAGAGCGGGCTCCTGTTTGATGTGGCGGTTAGAGCTTGGTACGCCTCAGACATCAAAAACCTGCAATTGTGAGTGGACAATTGCTATCGGTATATCTGGAGCAACACGAAAAATCCGACACTGTTGGAAATGCAAGAAAAAGGAAAGAACATGCAGGATGTGAGAAACCAACTGGACCCGAAGTCTACAGCAGAAGATCGAGAAGAGAGCACTCCAAGGCATTGCCCACATACTGCGCATTAGAAACGACAGAAGGACGAAAGCAGCAGCTTTTGGATGGCTGGAGAAGTTGGAAGGAAGACCGAAAGGCCCCGGAAAGAAGAAGAAAAGGACGCTGCCCTATTGGAAAGAAGCAGGCATAGATTGGACGAGCGCAGACAAGCTAGCAGCCGATAGAAAGACATGGTGGAAGAGAATAGTTGAGGGGATAGAACACCTGGCAAAGTAGGAGCGAAGTCGTGGTTATTTCATTTTTGAGGAAGCGGGCCCTAGAAACGCCATCCCAACCAAAGAAACCTTGACAACGTGCGCTCAAGGTGACAGGGTCAGTGAGAGCAAAGCAAGCCTCGGAACTCACGTGAAATGTATTCCTGAAGACCCACAGTGTAACTTTGAGTGCAAAAAATGCAAAGCCACTTTCAACACGGAGAACACGATAAAAAACCACATGAAAACATCTGGCGGAAAACAACAAACGCCGAAGGGATTCGCAAAATGCAACAACTGCCGGGAAGAGCTTAGCAAAGCAAACACCGCGCGCCACAGAAGAACATGCGGAACGGAAGAACAGACCACCGAGACAAACCTGGAAGCAGCAAGAAAGTATAGACCCAAAACCACGATCAACACACACTGTGGAACGCCAGAACTAGCAGCGAAAATGGCCAGACACAGACCACGAGGAGAGGGTATACCATTCAACCTTGAGGTGAACACCTAGAATACGAGGTACGACATAATCTGCGAGCAACGTTTTGACGGTTTATTCGATATGGGTCATCGACGCATCCCTACACGGGATGGGAACGAACCATGTCGAAGGGCGTTTTTTCTTCACAAAAAAACTCAAAAAAATTCAGGGGTGGCAAGGGGGTGGTATCATTTGTAGTTTCTTGCGGTCGTGATTTAATGGTAAACTTTTTTGAAAATTTCTGTTTAGAAAAAAACCGGTCTGATTTTTTAAATTTCCAGTCTGTATTCATTAAGTAATTCTGTTGCTATTACTTGCAAGCTATTCTTAACGGAATTCTTTTTTATTTACTCATTTCAAGTAAGCATATACTTTATGGTGTAACGAGTGATTTTGCAAGGTTGATGATTAAATAGTTTGGTCATTGATGCCTGCAATTTCTAAATCAATCGTATCTAGTGAACAAAAATTTTACTGGTAAAAATGCAGGTGGTTGAAATAAAAAACACTGATAACTGATTCCTATAACTGCTCAGCCAATTAAAAACTCTTTCACCTACTGAAACATAAGAAACACAAAAAAATTCTGAAAAACTCTGAAAAAAAAGAGCCCATTCTGAGTTAATTTCACAGGAAACGAAAATTCTCGTTATCCATTTATATTAATCGATTTTGATTTCAGTCATCCCTCCAATTTCCAGCAAAATGGCTGAGAATTTGATTCACATAACCAACATACAGTTCGGTAACAGTCAATGAAAGCAAAACCGAAAAAAAAATTAGTTTTTTTTTGAAAAAAAAACACGTTTCGAGTTTCACAGAATTATATCCCCTTGAAATTATTTTTTAATTTTAAGAATAATTTACGATTGACTTCTTTTTTTAAAGAAAAATCCAATTTAAGAAAACTAGATCATTCATCTGGAAATAGCTGGAAATCCTAAAAATAAAATCCTTCAAAATCGATCACGTTTTTGTTCCCTTCACACTTTCGCTTTTCGATAATGGCGTTTACGCAAAAAAAACTATTTTTAAGACATGCGTGAACATATTTCAAGATTTTCTTTCAAAAATTCATCAAAACTAAGCTAATCGATTGTTTAAAAACAACAGTAAGATTCAATTGTTTACGAAATCTACTGTAGTTAAAACTTTGTGGTATTTGCGCAGCCGCCTGTTGCTATGGCTTGAAATTGCAACACCTGAAATGTAACAACAGGGCTAATTCTGTTTACGGAAAAATAGCTGCATTTAGTACAATTTTTAGGCTATTTTTCCTTTCCCTCCACCGAATTTTTATTAGTAAGAATTCTTTTGTTCACATTGTCGGATTGTTACAATTAGGCCATGTTACAGCATATCAATGAAAAAATGATAATAAAACTGTATATGGAAAAAGCAGGTTCAAGAATATCGATGCAAATTAGCTGACTTAAACTTTGCTTCAATATTCTTACCATCTCGGCAAAAGCAGTTAGGCGCTTTATAGCCCTGGTGCATTTCCAAATAGGCCGTAGCATTTGCTGCATATGTTCGAGCACTGTAAAAGCCATTCTTTCCCCTAGTGTACAAACGGGCTGTCCACAAAGGGGCGCTCTTATCACCCTCAGCTGGGGCCTTAAAAGTGAAGTTGTCTGAATGTATCTTCAGCCCCGTTCTACACAGACCATCGTCAAATTCGACTGGGTGCGTCTCTTTTCCATCTGCATGAACCAGGTACTCACAGTTATTGTCAATTAGGAACACATACTCGTCACGTGCAAATGTCCCATTTCTACCCGCCAAAGGCACTTGCATTTGGTAAATTGTCACATCATTTTTTTCATCGTACTCGAGGAAATTTGTGTCAAATACAACATACAGCTGCGAGGCATCAATCCGCGTTACTGCTTCCAATTCAAACTCACATTTTTTGGTGCAACCTAAATTCATCATTAGGGTGCAATAAAACAGTAGTGCATTATGGCAACTCTAAACGATATCATTGCATGCATGAGGTTACAAAATAAACAGCTCAAATCAACTGCTTTTAACTTCCATACTGTGAGGAAAATGATATCTCAGTTTGAGACAAACGAATTTGACGCAATGACAATCAAAACTACAATTTTATAACATCATTTAGTCTTCAATTATATCTCGATCAAAATCTTTTCTGTCTTAAAGAGTACTTTTTAAAGTGCGATGTCCAATCTTTCCTAGTCTAAATAATGATTTGAAATTTTCCTTTAACCTTATTTTGCTTTTTCAGTTCATTATCTGGTTGCACGTGAATAATTTTGAAGTTGTTAAATTGCTTTATCGTTTTTTGTCGGTCTTAGTTTTGATCCGATTTCTGATTATTTTCCCACAATTTTCCAGATTTCGTGTGATGATTGCCGTTCTTTTTATCTAGAATTTCAATATGTCACTTACCAATTTTATTCAAACCAGTGAGAAATATTAAAATTGAATAGAATCCAAAATCGCGAAGGATATGTTGAATGTGTATCATTATGACTTTACCCTTTAATCGCCGTTTTTTATTTACTGAATAGGAGTTCTTTAATCGCTTCAAAATTTACAAAGCTTAGTTTCTCATAGTTTGCAATAGCTGCAGTTTAACTATTAGATATTGAATAGCTCAAATTTGTTATTAATTTGACGATATTTGCGGACAATTTCTTAGTTAGGAAGGTTGTTTTCTTCGTCAACAACCTGACATGCTCAGTCATTGATTGTAAATAAAAGCATGAAAATAAGTGATTCGATTTTTGTAGAAGAAGCGGTAACAAAGCCGACAATTTTTCAGAAGATACCCGTTGAGCCAAAAAAAATTGTTTTAATAAAAAAATTAATTACATTTAAAAAACATTTACTCAGCCCTTCAAAAGACTCACAGGCAAAGGAACTTGATTTGAACATCCAAAGACGCCACCAAGCCAATTAAGTACAAAACAAAAAAACTACAAAAACTAAACAAGGATAGCCGGTTGCTGTGCAAGTAGCACAGAATGTTCCTAACACATTTTCAACAGAAAATTTTCAAGTTAGTGTCTTTTTTACGCCATTTGATGAAAAAACTATACGCACGCGAAAAAACTTAGTGAATTAGGCATAAACGACTCCAATTGTCTAACACAAAAATAAATAAAAAACATGAAAAACTTTTTCCAAATTTTTTTAAAAACTTTTTTGCAAAAAACAGATCCAGCCCAAATCGAACTACAAGCTTTTGTCGTCTCAAGCAGGTGTCATATCTCTACACCAGATGCACTCGATGGTTTATCGAATTTGATTTCACAATGACACAAGTTGAAAAACGTGTAATATTTTTATGTGGAAGTCTTGTGAACCAAGTCTTCTGAACGAGAAAAGTCTTCAGATCTTCGCATTTTGAACTCCCTAAAACAAAGCCCTAAAATGGTCGACAGCATACATACAGCTGCACTTTCTATATTGAAGGATCTCATCGCCAAAATCACGAAATTCATGAGAATCTTGTTTAACTTCATTTTTTTCATTAGTTCCTACGTATAGCATTAGCTGCAAACAACAAATTAATCCGCGTAATTAATTTTCGCGAAATTAACTTTAAAACATCAGACTTTTTTCTTAGTTCAATTCTTTGTTCAATGAAAATTTTTAAAATATCATAAAAGCTGTCAATTTCAAAAACCTAAACAATATGAGCAATATTAAAAGAATGACAGCCACAACTGCAACTGCTGGTAGTAGCCTGACTTCACCTCACCAATCCTTCGACGATTTTGATTTTTTTTAGAAATTCAACACTTTTGAACTTTTTGAAAACCTAACAAAACGTCATATATAGGAAAGTGAATGCGTGTGACCACGAATATTTCGAGTCCAGATAGTAACTTCCTGAGAGTGCCTTGACAGCACCCACCATAGTGTTGACTTTTATCGAATTAAGTTTTTTGAAGTTTTGAAAAATCATAAAAACAACACTAAGATGATTTGAGCAGTCGAACTTAGACGAAAAAAATGCAACCTTTGAGAATAAGAAGATTTGAACAGTCAAACATAGAGGAAAGAATTGCAATCTCTGAGAGCAACTGCGATCACCCCATTATAGGGTTGGAAATAAAGATTTCGTAATGTTTTTCGATCAAGTTTTTGATTGTTTTAATATTGAAAACGCCATATCTCGAAAATTAAAATTAACTCAGGAGGCACATTCAGAGGAAAGGTTTGCACTTTGTGAGACTACTCGGACAGCACCTAGCTATAGGGTTGTGAAAATCCAATTTTGAAAAACAAATTATAACTCAATTATTAAAACTTTTGAATCTACGCCAAAGTACTAAGTTTACTCATGATATCTTATTTCAGATTTCACAGTTCCGCGGAAAAAAACAATCTAAATTTTCACGACAAATTGGATGAATTTTTGTAGCAAATAGGTATGCCCAAAAAATGGACATCACTGTTGTGGTAACTCAAAGAATATTATTTTTGCGATTATTCAACATAAACAATTACCAAACAATTCAGGTGTGGGTCTAGGATTTTCTCGTAGAGGCAGGTGGCGGATTTTCAAAAAACTTATATCAGCCTTTTTTTTAGGTCGACCAAATTGATTTTCTGAGCTCTCAAAAATCACTATAAAAAACCTATTTGACAAAAAAACCTATTTTGACCAAACTTATTTGACCAAAACAGACCAAAAAAAGGTGTTTTCGCCACTTTTTGGAAAAAGTTGACCAAAAAATTGCTTTTTTTTCGGCGCGCTTCCCCCTCAAATTTTGTATATATCTGCTCCAAAGGCGCCTTTAGAAAAAATTTAAGTTCTTCAGGCCAAAGATGGATATCTGAAAAAATTACAAAGGGGAGACCTTTGGATCGAATCCCTGAGGGAGAGAGCCCTGCCCCCTAAATCCGCTGGTGAAACAAATCAAGTCCCGAATACGAACAACTTACGCATTTATTTTTTTAAATTTTTCTGATTACAAAAACAGTTATCTCTACGATCCATGAAGAAAAAACCGTGCCACTTGCGAATTTTGCTTAAAATCGTAGACAATAACTGATTCGACTTTTATCAAAGCTGAAATACAAAAAATTCAAGTTTTTAAAAAATTAGTTTTGTGGAAATAAATGAACATGCTTCGAAAAATATGTAAAAATTTGACTGTTTATTGGCAAATCAATTTCACTGAACTTCTAATTCATTGAATCAATTTCATTGAAGTATTTAGAAATGAACGGTTCTAAATTGCTTTGAAGGCACTGAAAGTTTGAAACTCTAAGTTTTCTGCTAAACAAGGAAGCTGCGTTGACAGCACGTTCTTATAGAGCTATCAAAACGAAAGCAAAGCCTAGACAAGTATATTAAGATTATTTTAAATTAATTTTCTTGATGAGACTTATTGAATAAATTCACCATTGAAGGGATAACAATTAGCTCAATGGAAGATAAGCCGAAAAACTATTCCTTCAAATTTTGTAAATTTGTCGAGTTTCGCGTTCGTTTTGTCGAGTTTCGCGTTCGTTTTGTCGAGTTTTGCCTAGCTGATTGAATACCGGCATCAATTTGCGACCATTCCCTTTACAAGTACATCTTGAATTTAAGAAGCTTTGCGAGCGAAAGGAGCTTGTTTGTCCGCTAGTACGTAATAAGTTTTTCATTCATTAACACTGAATGATCGACTTCAACAAATGAGAAAAACAGATTAAGTATATTGGCCGTTTTAATTAACAAATAAATTATCATTCACATATAATTTGACAAAAAAACCAACCACGTCTAAACAGTCATAGTAAATTGCAAAAATTAAATCGCTAAAAATATGCACCATTGCAGGCGAAGCTATAAACAATTTCAGTTTCACAGCTCAGCAGTTTTTGTGACCTTGAGATGTGACCTTGTTGTGCACGCGTGCTTTGTAATGTCTGTCTTGATACGCCAGAACAGCCAGTCGAATGAAGCCTAGGGTGAAACACATTATGCCCATGATTCCAAAAGCTCGTTCGAATCCCCAATTGGCCCCAATGTATCCTCCGAACAGGGGTCCCAACAGACCACTGAGGTATTCTGCCCCGCCCAGAAAAGAAGCTATCGCTCCTGACACTGCGATGTTTTCAGGAAACCCGTGCACTATGGCAGCATGTCTCATTTCTTCGGCTGTGAGCACCAGATGTGATGAAAAGGCGAAAGCCGAAACGAAGAGTGAAAAGACATGGAGAGTTAAGTTCTGAGGAAGAGTACACAGCCAGGGATCTGGGCCTTCGAGCATGGCCGAAGTGCCTAGGAGGAACAAGGAGCCGATCAGAGATGTCTTCCGTCCAGCGAGTGTTTTCCCAATGATGCCAAAGAAAGTAGAGCCAAATGCCATGGCAATGAATGGCGCACACGAAACTAGCCCAATGTAAATAGCTTCTAGTCCGAAAATGTTTTTTAGAAAGGGCGAGTGAAGTGGACCGTGAGCTGCTAGTCCAGCGAACACACATACCTGAGATAGAAGTGCCAGAAAAATTTCCGGAACTTTGCATAGAGATATTGCAACGTCCCATTTTCCCTGATCTTTGCTGAGGTTTATATTTAACGAATTGGTCGAAGCTGAAAGATATTGGGCTGTTTTAAGAGGGTTTCTGGTGTCTAGAAACTCTTCTGTTGGCTCAACCGAAGGCGAGCTGTTCTTTGGCATCAGAAAGAATACTGGAATCATTATAAGCAGAGAAATGATGCCAGTTACAAGACAAGATAGAAAGAGAACTGGTTTGACAAAGTAGACAGCATATCCTATGAATATACTGACTATACACGCAACAGTGTAAGCGATGCCTGCGTACATTTTCAAAGTGGCTACTTCTTTTTTGAACTCCCACATAATGACAGTGTTTACTGCTACAGTCACGACTGCTGAGAGCGATCCACGCAGAATAGCGGAGACGAAATTGCCGATGTTGAACATCGTTTTTGGTAGAAATCCGATGACTCCAAATATAATAGCTATGATCCCGAGTACGATGGCGCTGATGTTCAGGAGTCGATATGAGGCGACTTCAGCCGGAAATATTTTTGAGAAGTTGACGGTGAGGTATCCGCACACAGCCCATGAAGCGAGGTTCTGCATGAAGATCCACCAGCCGACCCAGACTCCTCCAATTCCCTTGTTGGCTGCGTCCAGAGCAACAACAGTGCCATACCATATGATGTTGAACCTCTCCGAGAATGTGCCAAGCACTATGGCCAACACAAAACTCCTATGTCTGGAGTCATAAGGCATCTAACACCTGAAAATATAATGAATTACATAATTTTCACACACCATAGAATAAAACAGGGTAGCAACAGAATTTCAAGAAAAGCAAGAGATTTGACAGGTTTGAGTTGAAACAAAAACTCACTATACAATCCAAAGAGAGAAAAAAAGAAGTTAACTAAAAAAATCAAACTTGCTAACGAGAAACATCGATTTTATTTCTAAGATATCTGACCATAAAAATTGTACTTCAGCAAAATTGGATCGAAGCAAAGACAACAATTATTAACAAACGAAAGACGGAACGAAAACAATACAAACGACAACTGAAGTTTCGAGACAATTTTGTCAAAAATGTTATTTCTATCATCCAATATTCGTCTGAATAGGAAATGTTCGGCCATGTTTTCCTCGAATTATAAAAATTCATGCCTCGAAGTCAATGAGCAACTTCGAAAACCAGAAGATCACGAAGCGTGAAGTTACATAACAAAACAAGGATAGCCAGTTGCTGTACAAGTACCACACAACCTTCCGATCACATTTAAAAAACCGCAAAAATTGTTTTTTTTTTTCAAATTAGTGTCGTTTTTGCGCGTGGTGTGATGAGAGAGCCGTACGACCGTTCATGAATTAAACATAATCGACGGTAGTTGTTTTTGTGAAATGAATAATCACACAAAAACGAAAAAAAAATCAACATTTTCTAATTTTTTGCCAAGTAGACGCTAAATGAAACTTTCAAAACTCGTTATCCTAGAGTAAAACTAAGTTTTCACAACTTGAATAGAAATTTTTTATAAGACTTCTTCGCTCGCTTCATCGCTCGAAATTAGACAATAAAAAATTCAGACCGGATTTTTCTCGGAGGTATTTTCGAACGTCGGGATAAACTATTTCAAATCAATGTTTGTCTCAATACGCCCACGTCAGCACTTAGGAGCTTCACCAGATAATCGTTACAATAAGAAGCGGTTTCGACCACAAATAAAGCAGAACATTTTGATAGCTCAAAAACACTCGGACCGGACATCCTTCGTTTTTCCAATAGAAACAAGATTCGCTTCAGAAAAATTTCAGAAACAAAAACGTAGTTTTCTCAAAGACATCTCTAAAACTTGAAAAAGCGGCAAATAGGATTTTAATTTAGTTAAATATACAAACTGCGTAAGCATCTGTGCAATGAAGCAATAAACGGCAAAAAACGGAGCTAAAAGTTATCATACAACTTCGTTCGAAAAGTTTGCTCAATCTCTCGCCTGGAACAGTCGTTTCATTGACTACCTTTCAGCTCAGCTAACTCGACAATTCCACAAACGCTTTCTTCATGTCAGCCATTTTTCTTTCAAGGTATTCGAGGTTGGATCATAAGGATGGTTGATTCATTTGCTCACCGATGGCTTGGCTAAATTGTCGCTTTTCTTCAAATTAGTAGGTGCATGAGGAACCAAAGACTTGAAGACACCCTCACCGTCCCAACGATTATGCTGTACAAAATTTACAGTCACATTATTAGGCACAAAACCTTTCACATTATACGTTTCATCTTGCAAATTAACACCTTTATTCAGACGCGCTTCTTCTCGCAATTTCTGTTTGACCTTTTCAGTGGCTTCGATGTTTCGGATCTTATTCGTGATGCCCAGATCCACTTCCGGGATCCCCTCCAACATCTGCTGCGACATCATGTCGTCACCCTTCACAGCCGAATGCACATTCAGATGATCGGGTAATTCGAACAAATTTTTCTCAGGGTTATTTTTAGTAGGAGATGTATCCACATTCTCGCCTCGATGTTTTTTCAGCTCTGTTTCAATGAACTTCAACATTTCTCGGTCCATGTCCCCCTTTTGACTTTCGGCTAAAAAGTTTGTTTTTAGATCAATCAAACCCCCTTTTGTCTGACTATCATTGGAGTTTGACTCCGCCTTTCCCCCCACTGTACTGGAGGTGTCTTTACTGACATCTGCGACGATCCCTCGAGGTCTCTTCCGCAGCTCTTTGAGCTGTTTAGCTAAATTGATAGCCTCGTTTGTAACTGCAGAACCATCTTCGACATCGCCTGATTTCGGACTCTCCTCCTCGCTCTCAGATGAAGCAGTCCTTTTACGGAAGTTGCGACACCTTTTTGGAGGCATTGTATCTGAAAAAAAGTTCGATTTAAATCACAATAATTATTACACAAGTTCTAAGCTTTGATCTTAAGCTTCGCTTGTTCAAGAAAAATACTTTAAAAAAGTCAACTGCGATTTGAATCTCTGTGTAAAATTATTTTAATATAATTCATTATTTTAATATTTTTATTCTTTAGAGAAAACGATAGAATAATCGGAAGGGCGGTGTGTTCTTTTATGGCAAGTGATTAATGATACTATCTAGTCAAATTAACAGCATATTAGTAACAATTAAAATTAGGACACAAAGTTAGCCCTAGTGGATACATTATATGCACTGTTACTTCGGTTCGTCGTGTCTGATTTGTGGGGGATAGAGGAATCTTCTCTGGAAATCAATCTGTCCAGCGACCCAGATAGTCGTTTACTTCCGTGGTTAATCCATGCCTGGGCTACTCTTCTCGAGTTACCTGCAACCCTGTTCATGGACGCGGAGCCATCACGACGTGCCACCTGTCGCACGTGACCAAAGCGGTCCGGAAGAATAGGCCGCACACTTGAACTTGTGTGACCTCTAACTGCAGCTATGCTTGTGGACAGTCCAGCTGTCGTAAGTGACGATGACAGTTGGCTACCTGAAGGATACATGTTCTGGTATGAGGCCACTCCTCCTCTAGTACCACCGTCCATTTCCATGCTGCTATCCAGTGACTGTGGACTATTGTCATTGTTCCCTCCCATTTCACTCCTCTGCTGTTGGTAGCTCCCTCCCCCTCGCACCCGTGCCCAAGGTGAAAATCGTGCAGCGTCAGACCTGTGTTGGGGGTGATCATTTATTTGCACCATGTAGCTGCGTCCTCTGCTCTGAGCCATAATGTCGGACGTTCCATTGGCGATAATTCTTCCAAAGCCGCTACGCGGAGGCCGGTTGAGGTTAAAGCTATTTTGAGGCTCAAAAGCAGCGGCTAAGGAGACTGTTGGCCTAAAAATCAATATTGACAAAATAATTTTGCACGAAACCAATTGAAGCAACATTACGCAAAGCTCTGATCGCATTAACCTCCGTATAAGCCTTTTAAACGGGTTAAAACTAAGTTTCATTATTTTGGTTCCTCCAAAAGACAGTTTTTTGGAATGCCCTAATTGCATGAAAAAAAAACTCTGCAAGCCAAAGAAGGCGTCAAATCGAAAAAAAAGCAAAAACAAACAGCGCTATTAACTAGCTTCTTGTTAAAAAAACTACCGAAGACACAGTTCCTCTCCACTATCAATGGGAACAATCAGAGCTTACAAATTATAGATAAAACATCATATCTCTTGCACATACCGCAATTCCTGTTCACTGGCTGATTTTTTCTGATTAGCCAATCGCTGAAAATATTCTGCATTCGAATCAAGAGGACCAGCATTAGCTTTTTGATCCGACACACTTCGCTTCGAAAACTCATTTCCGATAGCAGAATGCTCAGCTTGTACACGTTCTGTGTTAGCTAGATATAAGTTTTGGTTCTCATCCGCCAAGAAAGGATGATGATGATTCTGCTCCGCTGATTGATTCTGCAGGGCTTGAAAGTTACTATATGCTGTGTGGAAGACTGCATTGGCAGCCGCCGGCTCACTATGGAAGGATCGTGCAGGAGCGGCAGATCTACTTCTAACGTGCTCTCTCATCTGAACTCTAGCTTCTAGTTCTGCACATTTAGCTCTTAGCAGATTGTTCTCTTCGATACAAACAGAAGAATTAGCTTCTATCAGTTGAGCAGCTGTTTGTACTCTCTGTAGAGCAGCGAAAGACACTTCTTGTCTCTTTTGTAGTTCTGCTTTTTCCTCGCTCAGCAGTCGGATGTCACTTTTCAAGGAGGCTACCTGCTCCATGGCTTCGCCATACCTCTCGAAAACAGACTGCAGCAAAGCCGCATTTCGCTCTTCTATGCCTGAAAACATGAATTGATACCTATTCCAAAATACCTAACAATTCGACTCAGAACAGAAAATCGAGGTTAACTAAGACGATCTTATAACTATCAACTTGGAATTTGTATGTTCACAGGTTGTTTAGATTTCTCGAGTTTCGCGCACGTGAAAAATTTTTGTCCCGCATCTAAAACCCTTAGCAAAAAAACCCTATTTATTAGTCTAGATCCAATTAGTGACACTCAGTTAGATTTCGCGTAATCAGCCCTTTTTTTGAAAGTTTGTTATACCTAAACATACGTACGTTTTAGCACCTTCAGTTCCACTGATTGCAATCGTCTCGATCTCAAGTAGAGTTCGTGGTTACCGGAAAACACATACATAATTTGCCTCACGTCCGATCTTTTAGGCGCCCAAACAACCAGTTGGTTACTGCTATTGCCACACGGAATCGGAGGCTCCGAAGAGTCTCGCGGCACCTTGGATTTCTTGCTTCCACTTGAGGACGCACTCCGATTGGATAGTCGATTCGACTTCTGCAGCAGGTACACAAGGTCTCCTTCAATTCCTGGTTGCAGAAGCAGTGTCAGCTTACAATCCTGTGAACATAAATATAATGAACAAACAACCTAAAAAACAACCAACAAAAATAGCCAACAGACAATTGGAAAAGAGTCAATGAACGCAAGTAAACAGAAAAAATACAAATAAATGGCCTTAAAGCTCTTTGAAATTCTAGAACATTACATGATTGACAATTTTGTTGATAAAATTAACCCACTTTGAAAAAAATGGATCGAAAGGTAAAAATTTAATTTCGCTGGGAAATCTGAAAACTAAATTCCACTTTCGAAATTAGAAGTCGATCACGTTTTTGACGGCATTCATACTTTTGCTGTTCAATAGTGGAGATTGCCTTCAATTAAACAAAAAAATTGAACTGAAATTGCTAAGAAATGAAAACTCAAACCACGAAAAGTGAATTTGAGCCTACCAAATTTCAAAACTTTTCCCGAAAAAAAAAAAGAATCATCACGACCTATAAAAGAGTCTGAACTACGTTCAACAACTCTTAAAATATAAATATCAAAGGGAAGTAAAAACAACAAATAAATGGCCTTAAAACTCTTTGAAATTCTAGAACATTACATGATTGACAATTTTGTTGATAAAATTAACCCACTTTGAAAAAAATGGATCGAAAGGTAAAAATTTAATTTCGCTGGGAAATCTGAAAACTAAATTCCACTTTCGAAATTAGAAGTCGATCACGTTTTTGACGGCATTCATACTTTTGCTGTTCAATTGTGGAGATTGCCTTCAATTAAACAAAAAAATTGAACTGAAATTGCTAAGAAATGAAAACTCAAACCACGAAAAGTGAATTTGAGCCTACCAAATTTCAAAACTTTTCCCGAAAAAAAAAAGAATCATCACGACCTATAAAAGAGTCTGAACTACGTTCAACAACTCTTAAAATATAAATATTAAAGGGAAGTAAAAACAACAAATCGATAAATATTTTAAAAAAGGGGTGCCCGTAAGGTTCGACCGAACACGAAATTTGTACCTATAAGGCAAGTTTAATAATTTTATCTAACGAAACAATTTATTCATTTCAATAGTTTTCAAAATTCGTAAAAAGGTATTCGGCGGCATTACACCATCATTCACATTAAAACTTTTTTCTTTTGCGCTGAGAAACGTCTAAAAACAGGTAAAACCTAATGACTATCTCCCAGACTGGGTTCTTTTGCTATTATTATTTATAAAAATTAATTTAGTGAATATGGACCTATACAAGAAACAATTTATTTTTATTATGATTAAATCTGAGACGTTACCTCTATGCGATCTGGGTACTGAATACGTCAAATCGCATGAATATAGTATGAATTAACGCATATTGGATCGAAAAAATAAAGATGAAAAGAAAACGAAAACAAAACCTCAAAAATTTATTGAAATCAATATTACCTGCACTATAAAAAATTCACATAAGACATTCAACAATGACAAAAACAGCTTAACTTTCAAAAGAATCAGTGCTGCTGGAACTAATTCGACACACGATAGTCAGAAAAAAAAACACTCTGATTATTTTTATGGATTTATGCACAAGCAAAAAGATTTCTCCCTCAATTCAATATCAGCTTTTTAAAGGACACGCTCCGATTATAAAAACCAAACTACAGATCCAGCCCGCTATCAAACATAGGGTCTTTGTCTTTCCAATCGTTGACGTTACCTATACGCAAAATGGGAAGAATCAGTCAACAAAGTTGAATTTACGTGTACAGGCAAAATCATCCCTGAGAAAATCATCCCAGATAATTACCCCAAAGAATTAGAAAAATGCCGACAAAAAAACTTTAGCCAAAATCGTCCATAAGATGTCAAAATCATTCAAAGCCAAAAACAATATAGTGCATTAGGTTTAACAGCTTATAATCAATCAATATGGTACTTCAAAGTTGCGCCCCCTCCAAAAGCAATCAAGAAGATAAAGTTTTTACAAAACAAATTAAACAGAGCCCGTAAGGTTCGATTTATGTAATCTCTTGGATAATTTGAAGATGATAGACAAAATGTTTTTGGGCCACTTGAAAAAGAGTCAATAAACGCAAGGAAACAGAAAAGAAAACACTGAATTCTTTTTGAAAAAACTTCGAAGAAAAAAACATACTACTTTTACGCTATTTGAATTTCAAGAAAAAATTATTATTGATACTTTTTTTTGATGAAGTTAACCCAATTTGAGAAAACTTGATCAGTAGGCAAATTTTTTTTCGTTGAGAAAACTAAACATTAAATCCACTCCTGAAACTAGAAGTCGTTCCCATTTTTCCGAGCCATTTGACTTTCGTATTTGGAACAAAACTTTCAGCAGTTGAATTTGAAGTGCATATGGACCTAAAAGTATTCATAAATGCTTCGATAAATATGAATGCACATCTGTAATTATTAGAGAATTTTAAAACTTTTCCCAAAAAAAAACAAAAAATCACCAAGACAGACATAAGAGTATTCACTACACGTTCATGCCTCGTAAAAACCAACTGAAAAAATCCGAAAAAAACGATACGTCATAGAGTAAAAAAACTCAGAGAAAAAATACAGCTGGGGCTTTCATTTTATTGAGCGATTTCTTTTATTGTCTGCTAACACAGTTCTTTATTTTCATGAAAATTCGACTGCTCGATCGAAACCCTCGATTCACCTTATAAGATATGGATTTTATGTTGCTCCAGGCTAGATCAACCACCGCACTTGAGATATTTCCGACACCTGTTAGACGATACAAGGCCACGCCTGCGGAACACACGGACAACTTCAGTTTATCAGCTTGCTTCGAGCTGACACTGAAGAAACTTCTCCCATACGCTGCCAAACTCTCTGCCCGAGACAAGTATGTCCGTTTCAACTCAAGCGAACTTTTCCCGAGCAGACCATTGTACAACTCGGCTATCTTAGCGGTAGTATTTTCATCGTCTGAGTACGCTTGCGGCAACACATTCTGTTTTACAGACTTGAGATGTTTCAGCCCATCTCGGAAAGGAAATAAAACAGCAAGAGACAAGGCAGCTAGATCGTGAACAAGATTGACTGGTAGTTTGATCCTGCCGGTTGTGATTTGTTTTGTTACGTCACTATAAACAAAGTCTATACTCGATGTTTGAATTATTTCTCCATTCTTTTCCGGGAAGAAATGGGTCGATAGCTTCAAAGTTTCTCTCCCGCTACCGACTAAATCGATGAACTTTCTCTCTTTCGGCAACAAGCTGTCCGTTCCATCTAAACAATTGAAAATTTGCAGCTAACACAATCATACAAATTTGGTCCTTACAGATTAAAATCTTCCAACAGGCGTTGAAAAAACTTTTAAATGGCTCTGATGCTCTGAATATTTTGTTTAAATCCAAGTTGCAAGTTGCATTTAGCTACAGGCTAGCACTGCTATCTCTTCTCAAACTCAAGAGAATTGATTTTATAGAAGACTTCTGTTTTTTATATATATAAAATTTTTTAATGAAACTAGCACGAAAACATTCACCATGAACACAACTACTCGAATGCCAGATAGGTGGACAGTATAATATTAAATCATGACTTGACACTGACTACAGACGGGCAAACAGAGAACTTACGGTATAAACTCCGGCTGCTGAAAGGTAAACAAAGTCAATTATTAAATTCTGTCACAAGATTTTATTGAAAGAACTTAAACATTGCACTTCGCCAACGCAAACAAAAATGATACTAGTTTACTTGTTTGATCCCGTGGCAAAACTAGTTTATATGATTGGTCCCGCCAGGGGCGGATCTAGGATTTTCTCGAGGGGGGGGCGGCGGATTTTCAAAAAATTTTGACGACCTTTTTTTTTTTAGGTCGACCAAATTGATTTTTATTTTTCGCGCTCTCGCAAAGCACTGTTTTGCCCCTATTTTGGCAAAATTTTCTGCGCCACAGGCAAATTTTTGAAAAAACAGTCAAAAAAGCCGTTTTTGGGCACTTTTTGAAAAATTTTTACAAAAAAATGCGTTTTTTTGGCGCGCGCTCCCCCTCAAAAATAGCATATATTGGATTTCTGAAAATGTATCAAAGGGGGGACCCTTTGGGTCGGCAGGGGGTCAAATCCCTGAGGTCCCACCCCCCCCCCCCCCCCCCCCTAAATCCGCCCCTGGGTCCCGCCTATTTCCTAAAAACCAAATGCTAGCATGGGATTCGAACCTGATTCGAAACAACGCCTTGCAATCACACTGCAAGCAAAACTTCAGCAAAAAACGTCATATTAGAGCGTTAAACTGCAAAAATAGGTTAAGAAGCTATCAAAGATTTTGACGCCTACGTATTATGATATAATTATAATTTTGAAAGGATGTAGAGAAAAAAAACTTCTTTCTTCTCCGTTCTAAAGGCTTCGAGCCTCCTTCATATATGTTAAGAGTATAATGTTTCGCCAATTGTTCTTTAAGCTCGTGCTGTCTTTCAGCCACCAAAAAGCAGATTAAACACATGCTGATAAAAACAGATACTAAAACTGAGCAATAATTTGTTGAGAATATGTTTATTTGATTTAGTTTGTAAAAAATTAACTTGTGATACAGCACAAGCGTTTGCCTGATTAATTGAATGACAAGAGATATTTTCTAGGCATCAAGCAAACTATGGCGCTAATACCAAACAACTCAACATTAAAAAAGGGGAAAAAGAATTTTAAGAGAGGCGAAGCTGCAGTGAAATCAGAAAATGTAGAAATAAGCCTCGAATAAGCAAAACTTTAGCTTTCGGCTGGATTCTGATCAGCGACCTCCCATTTAGGTCACGTCCTTTCTTCTCAGCCACGGACGCACACTAGCAACAAACACTAGTCACCAATACAGCAGATAACAGATGCTATGAAAATTTCAATGCTTCAGTAGATCGTGATTATAGTAAAAGTGCCACCAAATGAGCTTTTTCATTTGCGAGTTTGGAAAAAAGCAGAGTCGTACTAATACCCTACGCTCACAAGCTCGTTTGTGCAAATAAAAAGTGACTGTTTGCTTCTAGAAAAACATGAGAATTCAAAAGCTTAATAGAAAAAGGGGATCTACTTAACAATCGCCAACACTATGGTATTTACTTAAAAAATTGCCACCCCAATAAATAAAAGCAGTTAATTAGAACTAGAGCGTTTTGCTGCCCTGATTGGTCGAAAATCCGACTAACTTAACCTACTTAACAATTGCCCCCCCCCCCTTCCCCTTGTTGAAAGGTGGCAATTGTTAAGTAGATCCGAAAGAGGTAACACACCGAACAAGTAAGCTAATTCGAGCGAACAAATGAAGAATCATTTGACTGACGTATTTTTAATGAACCTGAACGAATTTGAGAAAAAGTATTTGATGAAACCGTTTAGATTTAAAAAAAATTGGATCAAAAGGTATTTTTTTATTCAGCTGGAAATTCTGAAAAGTAAAAACCACATTCAAAACTACAAAAATTTTTGCTCAATTTGCACTACTGCTATTGGAGAGCGTAAATTGCATTCGATTCGGCAAATGAAATTATAGTCAACGAAAAAAGCACGCCCCATAGGAGTAAACGGAAAAAATTACGCTCATTATCACACGTTCATAATTAAGCAGAAATAATAAGCTTATTATGCTCATTATGACGTTCATAATAAGCAAAATTCCCTGCACTTATAGACCATGAAAAAGTTACGCTCTGTTATGTAATAAGAGTGTAATACTTGAGGAGCATACAAACCTTCGGCTGACGCGGTCAAACCAAAAAACCAGGTCTCTTGGATTCCGATTGCAAAACAAGCTGCCTCAACTACGTCTGAAACTAGCGCAAACTTTGGCGACACAATCTGCACGTCGATCACTTCTGCTAAATGGGGCACCACTATTGGAATAGTGAGCTGATGGTGCACATTGTCTCCTCCAATCAGCGCTATCGGAGATCCCTTTGGAGTCGGCCACGCACTGAGGGAGTTCTCTGATAGGCACACGGTGGACTTAGCGCCAAAGCATCGCCTGTCCTTGTCGAAGGCAAAACTGTCACCCATAGAACAAGACCACGATTCTAGCCGAGATTCAAGTCTCTTAGCAAAAATGATAATTGAAATTACAAGTGAGCACGTATACACTACATTGCACTTGAACTGAAATGAAAGCAAATGCGTATAGATTGCGGTTAACGCCTGTTTATGTCGAAGACGAAAATAGCACGACCGATCTGTTCCTGGAAATTAATCAGAGCCGATATACGTTATACCTTGCCAAATATCGAATAATCAAAATTCTAACACAAAAAAAATAAGTTATTCAAAAAATGAGATTAAGTAATTTTAAATTTTACTGACAATAAAATTTGGTGCATTGATATATGCGTATAAGTCGAATTCACAGTTCATTCCTACTATACTGCTCGTCTTTTGTAAACAAGCAAAAACTATTAGCAAACAGCACCGCAACGCAACAATAAACCACTCAAGTTTAGAACATTCTGACATTTAAGTCCGGACTGGTAGCGGCAACTTCACTCATGGGTCCATCAGTCCGCACAGATAGGGGAGACAGCTTCCTTGCTCTTTCACCTTCCTTCCCTGACCTCCTATTGGCTAATGTGTTGACCAATGAAACAATCAGTTTCGCGTGAAGAGATGTTATGGACAGAGGCGCGAAGGGGTTCTTGGCTCCTTGTACGGCCGAAACTGTGAACGAATGTTGTATTGAGTCACTACTACTATTACTGTTGGCGAAACTGGCAGATTTTTCTTTATTCAATTCAATATTAAACAGCTCAAAAGGATAACTGAATCTTAATTCAGATTGAGGTGAGTTGGGTTTTGTAATAACGTGCAGACCATTGGCGTTCACAGCTATAAGAGAGTTGAATCCTTTGGCGGTGACTCCGTGGAAAAATGAGCTGCCATAAGTGATCGATTTTCGAGCTATCGTTCTGAATTTTTCTTGTAATAAATGGCGGTGCGAGGCATCTCGTATTTCCTCTAAGTTTTGTTTCACATTCGCTTTGACCTTCTTTACGAATTTTCTGCAGCTCGTTTTCCGATGCGAAATTATTTTAACAAGATCGGGACTCCTGAAACAACAGATATGAACCATCATTCGAACATATAATAAGTGACAATATATTCGGCCGAATCTGAGGCTCTTTTTCCTTATTTACGAAGACCAAATATGGTTGTCATAGCCTAATTAGTTAGATGTCAATTTTCATAACAATCAGTTGGTGGGAACAGTAATTTGACTTGGGCTCTTTTTCCTTCCCCCCCCCCCACCTCACTCAATTATGAATTTTATGGTCTAACGAGTGGTTTTACAAGGTTAACTATGAAGACAAAATATGTTTGTCATGGCCTAATTCATTAGCATGTCATTTTTCATGACAATCGGACAAAGTGAACAGTAACTTCGAGTATAAAAATTTGCAGGTGGGGGGGGGGGAGGAAGAAGAGCCATGACTTGTAAAAATTTGCAGGTGGGAACAAGAGGAAAAGAGCCGAATCTGATAACACCCAACTTTTGAATATCTACCTACGCTTTTTTTTTACACAGTGCGAAAATGTCGAAGATTGGAATAGAAAATTTTTGGGGACAGCCGGGGATTGAACCCGGGGCCTCTCGCACCCAAAGCGAGAATCATACCACTAGACCACTGTCCCTTGGTATGCTCAGCTGATGATTTTATGCTTATCTAAAAATCCAAAATAGATGGCCTGAAACGCTACCATTTTACGTTCTTTTTATTAAATTTAGCCAAAAAGAACTCAATTTACGTCAAAATCAAATGCGTCACAGCTCGGCGTATTTTGCGATCAGAGCAAACAACATTTGCCATCTTTGATTTGTAAAACGCACAAGGCACGTTTCTGAATCACATTTTAAGGCCAACCATCCAAAACAAAGCGCTATAATTTAACATCCTGATGGAAGGGTTCTTTCGATCCCTCTGAGGCTCTTCTATCGTTTCTCAATCTTCGATTATGTCTTAACCAGGAGCGGAGCTAGGATTATATGAAAAAAAAACGGTCCAAAAACGAAGTTTTTAGGCACTTTTTGGAAGGCTTTGACCAAATCGCGTTACTTCGGTGCGCGCTTCCCAAGGGTAACACGCGTTAAAATGATGCTTTACTTGAGAGGAAACGGTAGAAGACCCCCCAAACATTAGGCTATAAAATGGGCGGGGAGGGGCAGGGTAAGAGAAGCCTGGGGTCTTTTCTGTTATACGGCCCAAAAAAAAACATTATTTTTTGCTATATTGAGCATGACGCTCGACTCTGATTGGCTGAAATTCATATCAGAGAGTAGAAATCTCAGAGTTTTCAGTAAAAAAGAAACCCAATTAGTAGCAGTTTGCTAATTTGGACCATATGGCAGAAAAGACTGAAGCGTGAAAAGATGTTGATGTTTGTGACTTACTCGCAGTGTATCTGCTGGGGCTTGACGTCATAAATGAGGGCTAGAATGGTGGACAGTTGGACTGCTGTGGCCTCGCTCACTACACAACACCTGCTGAGGTAATGAGTCCTGGCTTGATGGAAGAGGAAGGAGACGCACTGGGGTTCAGTCTGGACCGCGTCCATCTCTGCAACTACTCTGATGTCTCTGGTCAGCGCCAACAGGGGGCCATTTGTTAGGGGAGAGATGACTTGGTTTTCACTTGCATTGCTCCCGACCATCTTGCTCCAGTTCTTCAGAACCTAAAAAGCACGTTACATTTGAAATTTCAGTAGAAACTATCATAAAACTCATAGAACACTGCACCCCGAGGCATAAATATTTCAGAAAACCCAGAATGTCATGAGCAGAGCAAACTGATAGTGATTGCTTAACTTTTTCTGGAGATGAATCCAGCTATACTCATCGTTCTTAACCTTTAGGGGGGAAAAACTAGGAAAATATTTTGTGTATTAATTTTGAACAATAAGGACATGTTCATTTTGAGCAAAAATGAACTTGTGAATTGAATTTTTCCAACATTACCGATGGTTTAACTATAAATCATGAAAGGGAAATTGGGAGGAGACTGTTGATCAATTACTATTATGAGTCGTGAATTATATCTACTTTAAAAAAAATAGCCAATCGAAGATTGGAAAAGAGAAATGAACGCAAGTAAACAAAAAAACACTGACTTAGCTAAAAAAAAAAATCTCAATTTTCGAATTTCAAAGAAAAAAATAGATGCCCTTTAAGCTCTTTGAAATTTTAGAACAATTTATGATTGGCGCTTTTTTGATATCATTAACTCATCTTGAGAAAACTGGATCAACAGGTAAAGTTTTTATTCCGCTGGAAATCTAAAAACAAAATTCCTCTTTCGAAACTAGAAATTGTTTACGTTTTATGCGCCATTTCCACGTTCGTATTTGGAGAGTGCTATTTACGTCTTTTTCAATGGATGAATTCCAATTGAACTCAAAAAGTGCATTGTACCTAAGTGCATCAATATTTTAAGACTTTTCCTTAAAAAAAATCAGCAAGACCTATATAAGAATCTTCACTACGTTCATTACTCTTAAAAAATTAAGATTTGAGTAATTTGACAATAAAGATGAAAACTGCAGATCAGCTGCTTATTATAAAACTTGTTTGTGATACACATTATCTTGATAAATTTCTTCTTTTCATTATTTTAGAAACACTTGCATATCTAGAGTTGCACATACGTGAAGCGGTTTGATTTCTGGCCTCAGTTGAATGGTCAAAGCATCTGACGTCACACTCAGAGCAAACATCAGCGAAGTCTGGGATGTCAGGTTCAGCTGTGTCAGAATATGTCCAGCTGTCGTGTTACTTCCAGACTCCAAAACGACACACTTCTCACTTCCGTCTGGCATCAAAACAGACAATGTCATCGGATCCCTTTCCGCATGTGCCTTCAGGTACCGCTGACATAGATTTAGACTTTCACCCGTTGGCCCAGCGAAGCTTTGACTGGATTTGCAGAGGTCAAGAGGCGACCTTTGACTTTTGTCTCTGGCCTTGTGATCGATGTCACCGATTTCTAGGAGGGTTTTCACAACCATATGATGGCCCCTGCCACATGCGAAATGTAAGGGCGTATAACCTAAAACAAGTCCAACAATCAGAGCCAAGAAAAGCTTCGAGGATTCGTCTTTTAAGTAAACAAAGTAAGAAATTGCAATGCAACGTAAGCGTCGCATTGCAAGCTAGCGAATAAAAAATGAGGCAGAAATCGCCAAGTCGAAAAAACATTACGGAAAAATGTTTTTGACAAAACTAAAAATTCAATCAGATAATAACAAGCGTAAAGAAAAAACAGCCGAGAAACACACACTAGCATTGAATAAGCTTTTAGTATTTTAGTATCATTTACCGAGCAGGCGCACAATACTTAAGACTCGCAGAGCCGAAAATAAAAAAATTCTACAAAAAATTGTTGTCACGAAAAAATTTTGAGCGAGTAAGTTTAACAACTTGAAACCTGAATTAATTTTACCGTCCAATATTTTACCGTTCAAGATTTTTTGCCTTTAAAACGATAAAACTAATTCAGAGTTCGAGTTGATAAATTGACAAGATAACAAGACAACGACTGTCAATAAGATTTCTTTTAATGAAAAACCCATGTATTGGAATTGAGGCCGAGAAAAAATAAGCAGGAAAACCAAAATACGATAGCTCATTTTTCCCAGGAAAAATCAATTCTAAACATACTGAAAAAAAAACAAGGTACGACCGGCATTCGAACTCAGCATGGCATAGGAGAGCAAATGCATCACCGCTTGCACGAGTTGGAAAAAGCACGTTTCTTACAGACTTGTAAAATTGTTTACAGGAAAAAACAGTTCCCAATTTCAAGACACTTGCTCATAATCAGTCAGATTCTGATAGGCTAGTCGTTGACAATTACCACCAATTTAGTATTAAAACTGAATAAGGGAATTATGCTTACCGAGATCAGTGGCTGCATTCGGCTGGATGTCACTCTGGCTCAGCAGCAGCTTCACAACTTCGTCATGACCCTGCCAGCTGGCATAGTGCAGAGCTGTCCATGAGTTCCAGTCTTGCTACACAGAAACAATAGCCCGTTACCAAGTACACAATCAAAACACATTTCTTCTTCTCGCAATAAGCTGACCTGAAACTGCGGAAGATCATACAAAAGAATCTTCAATTTTCTCATTATCAATATTATCAACTCTCAGTATTTACAATTTTAATAGTATTAATTCGCAAGCGTATGATACAAACTCGCCGTCCTTAGCAGGCTCAAATAATGCGAGCTGTAACTCAGGTTATTTTAATCCATGGACCCTTTCCAAATTCAGGAAAAAAAAGTTGAACAAAAAACAAATTTCATTGCTTTAAAGCCAAATGTGCAAAAACACAATAGAAAAGGAAATTTACCTTGTTTACATTTACAGCTCCTCTCAATAAATCCCTAACTGCATTCACATCCCCACACGACGATTTATACAGCAGAGGCATACTCTCCCTCCACCCATGATACATGTCCATGTCCATACTGGCGGCACTGCCACTGGAACATGACATCTTCGTGTAGTCTGGCACCACACCCGCACTCATCAGGTGTTTCCAAGGAGACTCGATGTACATATCCACTCGGTCACACACACTCTGAGAGTAGTTCACAACTGGGTTGAAGATCACCAAGTTCTCCCCACACTCGCCTATCTTCATGTCCAAAGAGTGAATCATGAACGAACTGAAAAAACGATCTTCTCACAAACTAACTACATCTTGCCACAGAATAAAAAGTTTCCAAGTTCACAGAATAAAAAGTTTGCTTGTTCATCAAGTCTCTCTGGTGTGATAAGCCCAATAAGTTAAAATGAGAAATGAAAATATAGTTCCCTTATTCCCAGTTTGGGACTCCCAACTAGCATCCGCTGACAACTTTAAGGATAGACAAGAAATACAATTGTCATGCTTCATCATCAATTTATCAACAATCGATACTTAAATTGATACAATGTCAACGGTTGAAACGTTTAGAAAAACTAAAATATCGAAAAAAAAGTACGAACAATGTTCTACACAGAAGCTGAAATTCAAAAATATGACTGAATCTGAGTTTTATAACACAAGAGGTTCGACATCAAACAGTTTGTATGGAATTGTGTAGCAGCTAATTCAAAACAAGGTCTCATTCCTGAAAATATTTCATGCTCAAACTGATTAGCACTAGCTTTAAAACCAGAGTATTTCCGACAATTTTCAAGAAACATTATTTTTTTGACTCAATTGAATCTTTTTCAGTCGCAGAGCTGCTAAAAATACCAGCCTATAGCCAGAATGTCAAAAATAATTGAAAAGCTTGCAAGTACCCAAACTAAACTGTTCTCAATCTATACTTGACACTTGATCCAAATGAATCAGGCTACCGGTAATATCAATCTAGAGAAACGTGATTATTTCGAACATTGATTTTTTTTTGTTGAAACTAGACATAAATAAGATAGTGATTATGATAAGAAGCGATATTTCTACAGCTTTTGACACAATTGACTTCAATATTCTCCACAAGAGACTTCAAACTCAGTTCAACGTCAAAAGATTAAGCCTTTTACGGAAATTATTTTATCTGAAAGATCGAAAGCAGCGCGTCAAACTATATGCCGGTTTGTCCAATGAAACATTTGTAAAAAAAAAGTTCTAGAAAGATCGAGTTCAAGTCCCATTAATTTCATAACCCACAAAGAACTTAACGCCACATGGCAGATTTTCTCTAAAATGTATGAACTAAAATATCAGTAATACGCAGATGACAGAAATGATAAGTTGTCTTCCTCTGAAGATCTTACAGAAAGAATCCAAAACATAGTTTTATAAACAAATCAACAGAGCAGCTCTAAAAATTGGTGTCAAGACTATTTGCCCCAGAACAACTGGCCCTATGCCAACTTGCCCCATACTAAATTGCGTTACATGAAAACTTGTCCCATGCCAACTTGCCTCATATGACAACTTGTCCTATGCCGTTTTGTCCCACAATTAACACTTCTAGGTAATTATTTGAGGTTCAAATCAATTAATGTTTAAGACCAGCAAGTGCTAATGGTAAACTAAACTCGTTTTGAGATAACAAGGGAAACTGACTCAAAACTGTTTGAATTGAGCCTCAAATATCATCTAAGCCACAATTTTTGTCAATTAAACGCAAAATTTTGACGATAATCCGCAATTAACGCTCTTGAAACTGAAAAAAACACTAATATTTTTATTCTGTGTCATTGTTTAAATCTTTTCTGTGCAAACATACAGCTTAACTAATATGAGTCAAATTACGTGGGGAATATCTCAACGAAACAAATGAACGCTGATTATCGACGGACACGACTTCGCGAAAAAGCAAACAACAAAAACAACTGAAAACTGGAGATGCGCAAGATACAGTTCCCAAAAGTGCCCAATGCTCGCTGTAACAGCTGGAGATGAAGGGAATTCTTTGATATCCTCGTAGAACATAATGTCGCTGAACAATTAACCTTGAAGCAAAATGCGGATTCTTTAAAACATGCGAGGAATCAAAATGAATTCAAAGCTTGCATGAACAAATTGAAAGCCGCAAAATTTCAACGCAATTTTTATGTAGAGTTAACCAATTCAAACGATTGATTGCCGATTTTGTAAGCTCACTTGGCACAGATGTTAGTGCACATAACTCTTCGTCAATTTAACTTGAAAACATGAAAACGAAAAAGGGCAGGTACTGCCCCTGATTCAAAATACTAAAAAATAGTGATAAAAAAATACAAGTCGGTGCTCCAGTCCCAAAAATAACTTTAGCGAGAAGTACACAACGATGTGAAAGATCGAGCAAATGACACTACTGGCTAGGGAACTGTATCGAGCCAGAGCCGATGCTTTAAAAAACAGACTCCAGGTACCAGCCGCAATTTGCATAGTCATGAGCGAAGCTGCATTTTGCAAACGCAAGCGATAAAGCGGGAAAAAACTCTAAAATAATCCAAAAATGAATGAAAAATTAGAACCAAAATTGTGCAGGAACAGAACAGAAAAATGTCGAAAAAACAACAAAAATCCAAATGCTTGTCTCGGATGAAGTTCAATTTGAGGGGAACAAATCAGCAACACAATCGCTGGTGTTAAACAAGTTTTCAGACAATATAATGAGCGGCAATTCAGCCGAAAACAGATTGCCAAAAAAAATGAAGGCTTAACTTTCCACAAAAAAAAGAACTTGAAGAAATTTTCTCTAAAATGTATGAACTAAAATATCAGTAATACGCAGATGACAGAAATGATAAGTTGTCTTCCTCTGAAGATCTTACAGAAAGAATACAAAACATAGTTTTATAAACAAATCAACAGAGCAGCTCTAAAAATTGGTGTCAAGACTATTTGCCCCAGAACAACTGGCCCTATGCCAACTTGCCCCATACTAAATTGCCATACATGAAAACTTGTCCCATGCCAACTTGCCTCATATGACAACTTGTCCTATGCCGTTTTGTCCCACAATTAACACTTCTAGGTAATTATTTGAGGTTCAAATCAATTAATGTTTAAGACCAGCAAGTGCTAATGGTAAACTAAACTCGTTTTGAGATAACAAGGGAAACTGACTCAAAACTGTTTGAATTGAGCCTCAAATATCATCTAAGCCACAATTTTTGTCAATTAAACGCAAAATTTTGACGATAATCCGCAATTAACGCTCTTGAAACAGAAAAAAACACTAATATTTTTATTCTGTGTCATTGTTTAAATCTTTTCTGTGCAAACATACAGCTTAACTAATATGAGTCAAATTACGTGGGGAATATCTCAACGAAACAAATGAACGCTGATTATCGACGGACACGACTTCGCGAAAAAGCAAACAACAAAAACAACTGAAAACTGGAGATGCGCAAGATACAGTTCCCAAAAGTGCCCAATGCTCGCTGTAACAGCTGGAGATGAAGGGAATTCTTTGATATCCTCGTAGAACATAATGTCGCTGAACAATTAACCTTGAAGCAAAATGCGGATTCTTTAAAACATGCGAGGAATCAAAATGAATTCAAAGCTTGCATGAACAAATTGAAAGCCGCAAAATTTCAACGCAATTTTTATGTAGAGTTAACCAATTCAAACGATTGATTGCCGATTTTGTAAGCTCACTTGGCACAGATGTTAGTGCACATAACTCTTCGTCAATTTAACTTGAAAACATGAAAACGAAAAAGGGCAGGTACTGCCCCTGATTCAAAATACTAAAAAATAGTGATAAAAAAATACAAGTCGGTGCTCCAGTCCCAAAAATAACTTTAGCGAGAAGTACACAACGATGTGAAAGATCGAGCAAATGACACTACTGGCTAGGGAACTGTATCGAGCCAGAGCCGATGCTTTAAAAAACAGACTCCAGGTACCAGCCGCAATTTGCATAGTCATGAGCGAAGCTGCATTTTGCAAACGCAAGCGATAAAACGGGAAAAAACTCTAAAATAATCCAAAAATGAATGAAAAATTAGAACCAAAATTGTGCAGGAACAGAACAGAAAAATGTCGAAAAAACAACAAAAATCCAAATGCTTGTCTCGGATGAAGTTCAATTTGAGGGGAACAAATCAGCAACACAATCGCTGGTGTTAAACAAGTTTTCAGACAATATAATGAGCGGCAATTCAGCCGAAAACAGATTGCCAAAAAAAATGAAGGCTTAACTTTCCACAAAAAAAAGAACTTGAAGAAATTCTAAAAAACTATGAAACCTCTAAAACAAATCCAATGACATCAAACTTATCAATTTCGAATTTGATACACAACGTTAAGAGAGCTGGATCACAACAAAAAAGAAAAATGCCCCAACGGGAAACAAAAATAAACACGAAAATTTTAATTTTCTCCATAATTGCAGCCAGAAAAACCACACTACTGAATCTGGCGCGACAGAAAATAAAATATTCAACAAAAAAATATTAAAGGTTCGAAATATTCACGTTTATCTAGATTGATTTTACCGGTATCCTGATTCAATTTTCTCCACAATTTCAGCCAGAAAAACCACACTCCTGAATCTGGCGCGACACTCGCCACATATCTTCGTAGACAAAACAGTCAAGTCAAAAAAAATTTGACACAAGAAAACAACTTGAATCGATTTCAGATAAATCAATCAATCCTTAAACACATCAATAGATTTAAACTAAAACTAATTTCGCGCAATTTTCGAATTAAAAAATCAGGTACATTGCATTCGAAAAAACCTACATGCAAAACTTTTTATAATCTAAAAAAAATATTTTGTAACTAAAAAATTTGGCGTGTACAAAAACCAGGAAACCATGAGCTTTACCTATCCTCTTTAAGGCAAGGAAAAAAAGTACTTGAAAAATCCACCAAAAATAACAAAAAAAAACAACCGGCAAGTAAGCCGACAAAAAGTTGTGAAATCTGAAAGATTTGTGCGCTCCAGAGGTGAGCATAAAACTTGTGTTTTCCTTGAAATAAAAAATGACAAGAAAAAATTCATGCAGAATAAAGCTTTTAAGATTAGTAAAACTACAAACAGCAAAAGTAAATCAAAACACTAAAAGCGACTACAAAGTTAAATTTTGCACCGCAAAAAAAAATCGGATGCGAATCCAGGACAATTTCTTTACCAGGCGTATTCGTTACCTCTAGACTAAGTAGGCAGCAGTCGCAAAGAAATTTGAATTTATTATGAACCGAACCTAAATTTACCATTTCTTTCTTAGACCATTATGTGAGCACAGTTATTTACGGAGAAAAAGGTCTAGTACCCGATTGCAATAACCTTGCTGATCGCAAGGGCCATGAAAGGCAATCTCAGTGAAACCACGTGAAGCAATCAAACCCTCACAACCGAAGCCAAAAACATTCTCTCAGAAAATATTCCGAATATCGTAATTGCAATTGACAATCGACTCGAACAATTCTATGCATGATATATCTGTAAGTGTTATTTATCGAATTCTCCGCGTCGATTGTCAATGAAAATTTCATCATTAAAACCTTTTCCCAGAAAACATTTTCGGCTTTGATTGTGAGGGTTTCATTGTTTCGCGTGGTTTCACAATCAGCAAGGGTATTGTAATCGTGTACTAGACTTTTTGAGGGGCAATTTTAAGTGCTTCAGATAAACATGAAAGACATCAATGACTGCACATTTTTGTTATAAGACGAAACTTACTTTAACGATGAACTTGGTCTTCGCTCTATTATATGCCAATTTTCAAATAATCTCCCTGAAGTGAAATCAACGCCTGAGTATACTACTCAAATTTCCTCAATCTCATAATCAAACCGTAAACCACGCTATAGGCGCCAAAACATCAGTAGTAACAACTTTCAGGAGCAATGGTCACCATAATTAACAACCTTTCAACCATGTGCACAGTTCTCAGTGATAAATTAAGGAAACCTTCAATAAAATCGCCTGGTAATTGTTTAAGTAGTATATCTTATGATTTTCAATTAGTGAAAGTGAACCAATTGTTCGAACTGGAGAAACATTAAAAAGTATTACAGAAGATTAAGTAATGCAAGATGCGTTAAGAAGGACAATACCCCGAATACGCATTACAACTTTGGATGTATGTGATGTTATGATTTTTGCGCTTTAAAAACTAGAGTTAAAAGAGTTTATCAAAACACTTTCACGCTCACTCTCTTCAATCAAATAGTAAGAAAACTGAACTTATCGTTATCAGTAACTAAGTATTCTGGAGCAGTTGTAGACCAGTTTTTAACGGGTGCCGGAGATCAAGCCGACGGGACTTGAAGCCGAATCGTATAGTGAGGGACTTCAAGCCGAATATTTTGTCAAAAAGTTATGATTAATTTGAAAACTGTTTTGAAGAATTTCTCAGTTTCATCAGCTTGCTTAACAAGTTATTGGCTTTTTTATTATTTTTGAGCCTCTAATTGATGTTTTGGGAATATGAAAAATTAAAACATTGTTCATGGGGTTTTTCATGTGTATAATTTATGCATTTCAAAATCCGGCTGATCTAACTTTCTGATGCCACTCTTAAGTGGTGCATTGTCATGAAGAACGCTTATGATAAACTAAACTTGCCTTTTTTTTCAAAATAAACATTTTAATGATAGAAATTTAGCGTTTTTAGGTGCTTGTAATTATTAAATTTCGGCTTGAAGTCCCTTCGGCTTGTTGTTCTAGACCCGTTTATAACGGTTAAGTAGCAGTATATTTAGACAACCGCGTATTCAGACACGTCAGTATTTAGACAAATACTGTTTTAACCAATCAGAATCGAGACAAAGAAAAAATTTATAAAAAATTATTATTTATTTTGGATTATTTATGTCTTATCTCGATTCTGATTGGTTCATACAGTATTTGTCTAAATACTGACGAGTATGAATACGCGGTTGTCTAAATACAGACCGCACTCCGTTTTTAACATTACAAGAAAACGTTGAAATTGAAAGGGAGAAAAAGAGTACAGAAAAAGAAAACAGAAATAGAGCGTGAGAATGAAAACTCGAAGTCAATCAAAAACGGGGACCGATCGTTCAGCAGACCAATTTTTTAGCATAAAAATTGAAAAATGAGTCTTTTAGCAGACCAACGTAAAAATGATGGATGATTGATTGACATACTCAAAAAAACGCTCAGTCTGGAGCCAAGCTTCCCCAATTTAGTCAATTACCTCACGATTTGTCAACAAAACTACCAACTTCAAAAACACAACAGTCTAAATTAGCGGCAAAACAAAGATTTACGCGCACAATAACACTCGTGTTGAATTGAAACGCAGCGGAGCAGGCGCTCGCTAATCGCCAATGGCCCGTTTGAAGTTAGCTATGACATTTTATAATTGTTCTGAGTCTGCTAAAAATCCTAGCACCATCAAAACCATTCTTAATTAAAAACACGGAACATTCATTGATACAAAACAGCTTTGCTTTTAGACTAGAGTTTCAACAAGTCTATTGATTTCACTTGAAAATCAACTAAGCTTGGTTATAGAAACATGCTGCGAGTGAGAGTATTAAATTTGATTCATCGTCCGATTTGAAATAAAAACATAGTGTTTTACTAGTTTCTTGAATGCATGGTAATTTTTCATTTTTAGAAACATTAAAACAAATGACGACCAGCTTTCGATAAAATCAAATATGAAAACAATCGAATTGAAACAAACTTATAACATGAAAATTATTCTTTTATGAAAAATATAATATTGTTTTTTCAAATAATCAGTAACAGTAAAGAGTAGCATTCATAACAACACATGTCCAAAAACATTTAAATTAAAGCAAAATTGAAAATATTGTTCTATCATTATTTAATGAAGAATCAGCTGTGATATTCTATGGTAAGCTTTCATGTAAAAATTTGAAGTTTATAAAAGTCGATTGTAAATTTCATCCTTGATCCCTATGCTATGTTTCCTGATGTTAAAACCCAATCAGCTGAGATGAGATTCATTCGCCTCATTGAATTACTTTCAACTTAAACTTTGAGTGTTCTTTTTTATTACCACGCATATCTTTTAACATTATACAACAAAAAAGTTTCTTTAGTGAAAGTTGTAATATCCGGTTGCAATACTCTGGTTAATCGCAATGGTAAAAAATTACCGGTTCTGTTTTGATTTATTTCTGGAACACTAAGAAAACTAGGCACCAATAAATCGAAAACCAGATCAACTTTTATAGAAACAGTTTGGACATGTATGTACAGTATCATGGACAAAAATATCGCAATCAATGCAGACAACAATCTCACATTCCATACAACAAGCAGCCGATACTCCCGAATCTAACTGACAGCCACAGCAGAAACACTCCGTCTTCTCTCCCACCACAATATCTTTAAACATCTCCAGAGGAAAGAGATGGTGATAGGATCTAGCCAAATGGGGGGCTGATACTAAAGTGACGCCACATACTTTACACTCAATTGGTATCGTGCAATAACATCCACCACATTGAGGACAGATGAAGCCTTTATTTGTGCATTTAGGTTTCGAAGAGTTCACGTGACAGAAACACATAGCTAGGAACCCCGAAGAGCTGGAGTCTTTATATTCCGGGAAGCCCATTTTAACTAATGAAGAACCAGTCCCAGTCGATATAACAGGCGGAATAACAAACGCACTCATCAATTCGGCTAGATGGTATTCGTCCAGAATCACATTGTAAACTCCTCCTGTTAGCTTAGCCAGAGTTGAGAAGCAGTGCACTTGAGCCGAAAGTCCAATGACCGAAACTCTCATCTTATTGTTGGCTGCCCATTCTATTTTCTTCAACACATCTACGGGATCGCACGAAGTCAAACTGCCAATTATGAACAGAATCTCTTTACTTGCATGGCTAGGCATTGTTTTCAATGTCTCCCCAGCCACTTCTAAACTGTTTTCCAAGGAAAACTCTCCGCTGCAGTCTTTATCCGTCAAAACACCAACCGAAGTTTTAATCTGTTGTCCACTGGTAGTCAAAGGAACCAACACCTTTGCACGTTTATCTCTACTTCCTATTACTCCCAGTTGGCTTATCGGGTTCTGGTCGAAAAACTCATCCGTAAATGACTGCATCAACTTGGCAACCTTCATCAGTCTAGAAGGCTTCATATCCGTGTCATTCATAGCTGTAGATTGATCGAGCACAATGAAACAGTAGCGCATCATGCCAAGTCTCGACTGTCTCGGACGCGCTTCCAGCAGGTACTTTCTGCGCTTCGTCTGATTGATCCAGTCATTTACAGACGTAATGAGCGACCCTGATTCGTCTTCTTTGATTTCTTCCCAAGTCTTCTCATACCCAGTTTCCCAGCGATACGCCGGCTCCTGGACATCATCAGGAAGATTCGCCATTTTAAGATACCTCTGATTCTATTCTTTGCCAGGAAGAGTTTTCTCGATTATCTCGAGCAAAGCGTCAACTTGTTCTTCAGTTAACCGCTCTTCGCTTTCCTCAACGATCAGTTGAATTTCGACCGCTGAAGTTGGATGCAAGTTAAGCAATTGAAGTGTTTCGGCTTCTGTAAGACCGAATGACCGGACTGCCTTTACGAAATCAGAGATGACTTGTGCGCTTTGCTTGGATGCTACAAACTGATTTAGATACTGGCTTGTTTCGTATACAATGGTCCTCGCGTTGGGTTCTAGATCTTTCTTGTTATCCTTGTTATTCACATCACTCAAAATGCTCAGCACTTCGTAATTACTCAGCAAAGCTGCATTCACTTTCACAATTTCCATACAACAAAATTAATCCTGAAACGTGCAGGCTTAACTGACAATGAGTTTTACGGATGAAAAAAACTAGCTACTTAAAAAACATCTTTAAACTGATTTCACAGAGCAGTTAGTTATGCTGATAATACACTATTTAAAAACCGCTCCCATACTAGTTTACAGTACAAAATATCATTTTCGGTAAGAAAAATAAAAGACATAAATGGAATCCAGAGCAAACTGGATCTAATATTAAACATTGTATGAACCACAATAGCCCGTGAGGCTTTACTTGAATTACTTAAGGTTGAATTAGCACCTTTGTTTGATAGCATCGAAGAATGGGATAGAAATTTGACCAGAGAAGCCTGTTTGAGTGAGCATTTATTGCACTGCGGATAGAGTTGCTGTTTGAAGTTGTTGGACTGAAAGAACACAAGCTGGCATCGGTTCCACCAAGATTGCATTACCACCCCACTCGGAGGCTGATGGTCACTGATGAAGCATTTGGCGACAGGCAGGAATGGGGTGAAAGTGGCCTTGAGTCGGTTTTTCAGGCGCTTCAGCAGCTGCTTGGACCCGCACGAGTGACATCCGTGACGAGCACCTAGCTTCTGAATGGACTGTTTTTGAGCCTAAAACACACTTGAACAAACTAAAATACATATTGCATTCAGTTACAGGTATCCTATCAGAGCAACACGCCATAATTTTTATTGCAGTTTCTTGTGAAAAGAATTTGGGCGGTTTTTGACACGATTAACTTTCGGCACCCAGGGTTAAAAAACTTCGGGAAATTTCGGTGCATATCCATCATTATTTCATTTTTCAAAAACCACCCGTCTTCTCGAAAAAGAAAAGTGAACTTCGCACACATAGTAGCGAACGGGGCCATTTTTTAGACCAACCGTACAATCCCTCCCCCTCCCCTTAATTACCGGCCGTAGAATTTTTTCCATAGCAACTTATTAATTTCGAAACCTAATTGCGTATAGAATAATGTGCATTTGAACCAAGTGTCCAGAATATATTGGTTGAGAAAATTTTTGAAAAAATTTAATTTTTGAAAATTTTTCATATTATCCACCCTTCATTGATTGGGGTGGGGGGGGGGGGGGGGACTGTTGATCCTAGTTCTCGTTTGAACCTAATTTTCTGAGGAGGAATGCTTCCGCTATTATGAACAAAGAATATATTTACCCACCTTGGAAGCACTGCGAACAGAGCATGGCATTCCAGTCCTGGCAAAAGCTCCCAACGACAACAAGTGGCTCGGCAAGAGAGAGCTCAACCTTCCTCCGCAGACGAAAAAGACAGACAAGTTGCAAAACAAAGCGCCACATATGATCTTAACATCATCTTCACTCAATTGTGTCTTCAATACGTGAGAACTACGAGCAATTTTGAACTGAACTCGGGGTTCAGTATTGCGAGACAAATCAGCTGACAGCGATGTGACGGCATAAAAGGTTGTATATGAAGCGACTCCATGGGCCAAAGTAAATGAAAACAGACCTATAGCATGGATAGAATAACATACAACAGAAACCAGACGACCTCCTACACCAAAAAAAAAAGAACATATAATTTTAGGTCTATTTTAATATATATTATTTAAGTCTACTCAAAGCAATTCGGCACACTCTACCGATAACTGATTGATGGTAGACCAACAAGCCGAAAATAAGATAACCATCCCAACAAGCCGAAAATTAAACCAGTTATGCAATCTAACAACAGATTGTCACTGTTGTTTATGCAATTGTTACGTATTTCTGATAAAATTTCGACTTCAAGATCTGGCGGTTTATTGACAATTTGCCTGATTGAATAACGCTTTACTTTAACGGGTGAATTAGGATGCACATGAAATCAACTACTAACCAAGAAAAGGCGCTGCTTTCAGATTGCTTGTCAACCCAAGAGGTTTCCATATCACTCCCTGAAGCGCATTAATACACAGCGGAAAAGCTAGAATTCCAGCGCATCCGCCAAGAGCAATAGCCTTCAAGGAGAGGAAACTCTGATTTTGCTCCGATTTACTCAGCCATTGACCAGAATTCAAAGCACCAAAAACCATCTGAAAGATATGAAGTTTCTGCTTGGTTCATTTTGGGACGAAGCAGAACCTGACAGCTTCCATTTCTCGCAAATTAAAACTTAACATAGAGACGAAGCAGTGTTTCTCACCACTTGCGACATCACTCAAAAACTGCATTGCAATCAAGTAGCCAGAAAATGAAATGAGAGCCACTGAGTAGAAAACTTTAATGAAAGATAGGCAAAGCAAAGTTAAGCATCACTTTAAGTAAAGTTAAGCAAAACCAGCGTAACTAAGCCGACAAAACATAAGCCGAAAAAAGCTTTTAAGCGAAACAACAACAAAAAATATAGTCAGGGCTATAACTTTTATAAATTACAGAAACGCATCAAAAACACTTGCATCTACGACAAAAAATGCTGACCGCACAAAAAAATTCTAATGTGGTAACTAAGCCGACACAACGTAAGCAGACAAACAAGTCCGACAATTCAATTTTTCCCGGAAAGTTTTTTATAATGTCTTACGTAGTGAAAAAAACGTCTAGTTCCCGATTACGAGACACTGGCTTTCGCAAGTGTAATAAATGTCAAAAAACCCAACCGCTTGTCTCAAAAAGTTGGGTGAAGGCCCATTGAGCCGAAAATAAAACTTTTAGCAGTAAAACGTTGACCTTCAAAGTTCGAATATTCTACAACTTTACGCACCCTACGGAAACAGGGCTGATTTATCCTTTTAAACGACGCAAAATTAGGTCACTAAGCCTATATAACATGAGCCGAAACCATATATGACGAAAAAGGGTAATTACACATTTGAACAAAAAAAAGACATTACACAAAGTCAGGGACTAGTAGATAAGCTAGTAAAGAATCTAATAAAATTTAATGTATTTTTAATCAAGCTATATTTTCTTTTCAACCGGTCTCAGGCCTCTGCTACTTCAGTGACAAGAAAAAATACCAGTAGGAATGCTATTTATAGAAAAAAAATCCGTTTTCATTACGCTTGCTTATCGAGAAAGCGATAATTGGCCAGATTCGTCAAATTTTAAAGGTCCACGTTGATCTCACAAGTGTCTCGCCAAGGGATAGCGCTTGATTTTTTAAATATTTAGTACGGTATTTGCAGAGAGGTTGCCGTTTGGTTATTTCGTAGATTTTCGGAACTTCCAAGGGAAGGTTGTTGATAGTGCTCTTGTCGAAGTCTCAAACGGTGGACCCCTGATTCTAGTAACTGAGACTTCCAGTGACTCTGGATGCAGCGCCAATTTCGGTTAATTACAAAGCCGTCAAATGTGGAAAGGTATAGCAGAGTTATGGGGATGGTTGACCTTCATATCTTTTATGGGGATGGTTGACCTTCGTATCTTTTATGGGGATGGTTGACCTTCATATCTTTTATGGGGATGGTTGACCTTCATATCTTTTATGGGAATGGTTGACCTTCATTTTGTAAGACAAAGAAGCTCTGGAACACTCATTAGGCCACTAGGATCGATTCTGGTTGAGGACTCAATAAGGTAAAAGAAAACAAAAGCGTAACTCGGCTAGTCTGAAAAACGCTCATGGATTGAGTGAGAGTTCAGTGAGATTATCGGGAGGTTTCAGGAGGCGTTTTGAGTATGGGTAAAATTTCAATGTCGTTAGAAGCAGTTCGTGTGTGTTGCCTTTCGTGGATTTGGAACCATTGATTTTTTAAGGTTTAAGTCAGAAACCAGCGCAAAATAGATAATCCATCGCCAGCATCAAAATCCAGAGCACACGCAATTTCAGAACGCGCTCAAAAGAATAATCAAAATGATCAAACCGCACCAATTGCTTTATGGACAATAATAGCGTGCCAAAAACCATATTTGGCATTTTCGTAATTTACAAGAACTGCCTAAAATTCCAGAAAAGCTTTAAAACAATTCTTGTCAAACTAAAATTGCCGGCTGCTTTGCAAGCAGCACAAAATATTTCGATGACCATTGACATGATTTGAGACTAGAAAATGTAAACTTTCAAGAACTTTTGAGTGTTTTCCTTTCGTTTTTTTGCGATTTTGCAAACTTGTTTTTGTGAGCTTACGAGAATTATTCTTCATAGTCTAAATAATCCAGAAAAAATTTTCGATTAAATCATTTTTTACTTACTAAAGCCATTCACAAAATCGACGCCAAAAAAGACAAAACATAGCCAACAGAAAGCTTTCAAGTGTCAACGAATACAAGGAAAAACAAATAAAAACTGACTTCCTCTTAGAAAAAATTCACTTTGATGAACACTTTTCAGATGAAATTACCCTCCAATGAGAAAACTGGATCAACTAATAACTTTTATATTTCGCTGGAATTTCAGATAATGAAAGTCCATTTTTGAAGCTAAAAGTCATTCACCTTTGCCTTCCATTTCACAACTTTAAAGAATCAAAAGTCAAATCGCAAAAAAAACCTAATGAGCTTGAAAAAATTTTAAAACTTTTCTTTGAACAAAAACGGAAAAATCAACGCGACCTGTATAATTGTCTTTGTCACGTTCATTTACACTTATATTTCAGACAAGTTTTACTTAACTGCCAGAAAGCCTTTTCTTTACAAAAAAAAACATTAACGAAAAATAGGCAAAGCAGAGCTCACCAGTTGCGATACATCACAAACATAGCATGGTTAGCTAGCAGACATATGAAAAACCCGCCAAACCAAAAGTGATTTGATAAAAAAATGCCTCTATCAATATTTCAGACGTGTCTTGACGAATGAATTTCAATTTCAACATCTTAGGCCGACTCCCATTGAGCAGAAACAAAATTGTTAAGAAATATGAGCTAGAATGAAGCTTTTGTATCGCCGAAACACAGACTTAAAAATCTATCATAAGCCTCCAAATGACGCAATATGAGGCGTCTATACTGATACAATGTCGGCTGATACTATTTAAGACGAACCAACCTTTTAAGCGAAAAAATTGAACAGAAGTTACACAATCGGATGTACTTAACTTATAAATTACAAGAATGTATCTAAATGATTTTCAATTTTAGTAACAGCAACTTGAGCCTGAATAAAGTTCACGCTCTGCTAATTAAGCCAACAAAAAGTAAGCAGACGCATAATATGCCGACCATTGAACTTTTCCCAGAAAAAACTATGAAAAATACTGATACAACTTGTACTGTAATAGCAGTAGTCCAGTAATATAACTTTAAATTAATGGAATCCACGGACTGTCAATTCAGGTGATTTTCGGTTCTTCTCCACTTTACCCCCTTATTTCAATTTTTATCTGTTATTATGGCTGAGTGCGGGGAAGTTCGAATATCAAATCAGTTATTAATAGTTAGTTCATTCACCATTCACAATTACATTGAATTTTAGCAATGTTAAAATAGTTTTTAAAACTTGAAATTCAAATATTGAGGAGGGGTGGGAATGGAAAAGAGCTTCATTTTGTTTAACAAATTGTCAACCCGAAAAAAGTCTACAACCCGCTTTGATAACGTTTGTTAAACGCCAGCACAATCAGGACTGAAAGGGTTTTAATACACACTATTATTATATCGGAAAAATTAAAAATTACGAGGAAGAAACAATGCCTATTATCTTGATTCAAAAAAGTGGGAGACAGATCGTAAATTATACTGATAAATAAACAAAATCATAACAAAACATCCAATGAACGACAATCAAATTTGTGTAGCTTAAGAAACCAAAATATTTTCAAATCACGAGAGAACTCCTGTACAAAAGAGGCACCCCACGGATGACGACTGTTAAAACATGCTGCAATATTTCATTTCATTTTTATATTCAGTCTTGGACACGGGATGTCAACGAGGCCAATTAGGTTGCATTGAAGGAAGAGGGTTCGAGGAGTATCACCAGCCTCTGTATCCGCCGCGATATCCCCCTCCTCTTCCTCCGCCCCCGTAGCCCTGGTAACCACCTCCGTAGCCTCTGTTTCCTCCCCATCCGCCTTGATTCCCGCCATAGTAACCTCCTCCTCCTCGACCCCCGCCGTATCCACCCCCGCCCCTGTTATTGTAACCCCCGCCTCCTCGTGGGCCTCCTCCGCCGTAGCCCCCTCCCCCACCTCCACCTCTGTAGTTTCCTCCTCCTCCCCCTCTGTTGTTATTGTATCTGTTCTGTTGTTCTGAGGAGTTCTGTTGCATGTATGGACTCTTTCTGGACCCCTTCTCGAAATTAATGAGCATGCTGTTTATGAGTTTGTTTCCAAACTTGTCCAAAAACTTCTCCACATCGTCCCATGTTTTCACAAAAAAGTAAGCAAACTTTCCAGCTGAGGCTGTGTTGCTGCGAGAAACAACTATGGACTCGTCTTCAAATGCCTTAAACACAAAATGCATTTACATAAAAGGACTGACGGTAACTTGATCGTTTTAACCTGTCATGGCTCAAAAAAAATGTCTACGGCTTTAATTCAACGGCTTTCATTCAAAAATTTATCATTTCAAATTTTGGAATGAAAAAAAAAATCATTTTAAATTTTGGAATGAAACAAAAACCATTTTAAATTTCGGAACTATTAAATTGAGAACTATTAATTCGGTTATTTATCCATTAAAGAATGATTGCTTGCAATCTGAAATGAAGTGTGAAAACTTACTTTACAGAGTATTTTCATGTTCTTGGGTGTGAAGGAGTCGGAATTTGTCTTCATGGCCGCGAACACAAATGGCTCGCAGCTCAGATTCTCTTCCGACGTCGAAGACTCTTTTCCCCCACTCGTCGTGCTCATATTATCCCCCGCATTGCTACTCGTATCACCTCCTCCATCCTCCTCGCTTTTAATTGTCTCTCCGTTTTGACTGTCGGCTGTGAAGCTGGAGTCGGCTGCATTTACACTTTTACTCGATTCTTGCTCTGTCTCGTCAAAGGCTTCTGCCACTATGTCTATATAGCCGAAATTTGTGTTGTTGAACCTTTCTACGACCTGTAAACACCATTTAAACTAATATATTATTTTTTTCGGAAACTGAGCAGAACAGGCAACACAGAAGAGAAACGCACTTTAAGAGATACAACACAAACATAGCACGAAAGACTAGCCGAGAGAAAAGGAGACAAAAGTTTTAAAAAAAATAAAGTTATCATCAAATTTTCTTATCAATGACTCGATATGTTTTGAGCAAAACGTACAAAGCAAAAACAATGCCGACAAAACTTGCGCAGACTGACGTTGAACCGAAAAAAAAATAATAAAAAACCCAGTGAAAAAGTCCCCACTCAAAGCACGCGCACACACAATGGAACTTTTTTCACGCACCAAACAACTGAATATGAGGCTTTTCAGTCAATATAATATCAGTCGGAAACCTCTATGCAGGATAAAACTGAAGAAAAAGTTTGAGGACAATAATTCCAGCAAAAAATAACCCACGGCGTGAAATAAGTACTCCAGAAACATTTAGTGAACGGCAATTTAACCGACAAAACTATATTTTTGTATGTATTCGAAGGGTAGAGGTGCGCAAAATAATGTTTTCTTTGAAACAACCGAAAACATAGAGGCGAAACTGCGCTTTGCAAAACTAGAACACGCCGAAAAAGCAGCTCTGTAGAGTGAAATAATAATTATAGAAATAAGCCTTGAATTATTTAACACTCCGCTATGTCTCGGGTTTGATCTGCGACCTAGAATTTATGAGTCTCACGCACTAATCACTCAGCCACAGGCGCTTAATAAATCCCATACATTTTCCACAAATAGAGTAGAGAACAGATGCTATGAAATTTCCAATGCTACCGATGGTGATTATATTAAAAGAACCACCAAATAAGTGAACACTTATCATGAATTTTTTGATTTGCGAGTTAGCTTAGAAAAAAAGAAGGTTCGTACTAATACACTAACGCTCGCAAGCTCAATTGTAATGACGCAAGAGGTTCCATATCATAAGGTTCCATATCGTAAAGACGCAAGAGGTTCCGAACTGTGTAGCAACTATTTGAAAACAACGTCATTCCTAGAAGCATATCATGCTGATTAGCACTATCTTTGAGACCGAAGTATTTCCCACGATTTTCAAGAAAACGTTAGTTCTGACTCATTTGAACATTTTTTCCTGTCGCAGAGCTGCTAAAAAACTACCGGCCTATAGCCAAAATAATTGATAATTTGCAACGCACCCAAACATAACCAACTGACAGACGGAAAAGAGTAATGAACGCACAGAAACTGAAGAGAAAACCGACTTATTTTTTCCAAAACCTTCAACTTTTGAATTTCGAAGACACAAAAGATGGCCTTAAAGCTCTTGAATTTGTAAAACAATCAATGATGTATACTTTTTTGTTTAAAACTAACCCAATTTGAGAAAACTGGATCAATAGGTAAGACTTTTATTTCGCTGGCCCGATAATTATTTTCCATTTTCGAAAACTTTAAATTAATGAAAATTGTTAGTCTACGTTCGAGCCAGTAAAGCGAGCGAGTGGGTCTTAAACTACTTCGAAATTAGACTAAAACTCAAAAACTTCAAATAGGTTTTTATCGACATCGAGAAAATTTTACGATTTTTAAGGTCGTTCAAATCACGAATGAAAGGGCTTGAACATGATATTTCATTAAAACCCTTCCGATGATTATTTTTGGTACCTGGTTTTGCGTGTAAAACAAAAACATAGCCAACGGAAAGTTGGAAAAGAGTCAATGAACGCAATTAAAAAGAGAAAAAATCACTTTTTGAAAATCTCAATTTTCGAATTTCTAAGAAAAAAAATAGATGCTCTTAGATAAACAAAATCAATTAAAAGAAAAGAAAAGCACTAACATAATGCACAAAAGTGTTATGCAATTAAATCAAAAATGGTAAATTACCAAAAGACCGCGGAATTGAAGTAAGAATGAATGCTCTTAAAGCTCTTTGAATTTCTAAAACAATTTATGATTGTCACTTTTTCGATAAAATTAACCCAATTTGAGGAGACTGAATCGATAGGTATTTTTTTGTTGAGAAAACTCAAATTCAATTCCACTTTCGAAAAAAAAGAAGTCAATCACGTTTTTCGTGACCTTTACAAATTTGCTATTCGATAGTGGAGTTTGCCTTCTCTTTAACAATAGAATTGCACCGAACTTCACTGAAGAATTCACAAGTCAAGCCGCGAAAATGACAATTGAGCGTGAACAAATTTTAAGACTTTTTCCTGATTCAAAAAAAAATCAGCAAGACCTATATAAGAGTACTGACTACAACCATTACTTCTAATTAAACTGTTCTCAATCTTTACTTGATACTTGATTCAAATGAATCAGGCTATCGGTAAAATCAATCTACAGAAACGTGATTAATTCAAACTTTTAATAATTTTTCTGTTATGCTGGAAATTGATTTTTCCACAGCTTTTAACATAATTGACTTCAATTTTCTCGACAAGAGACTTTAAACTCGGTTCAACATCAGAGGATTTGGCCTTTCATAGACATTATTTTACCTGAGAAAATGCAAGCAGCGGGTCAAACTATATGCAGGTTTGTCCAATGAAAAAATTGTAAATATAAGGGTTTTGCAGGTATCGAATTCAGGTCCCCTTATTTTCACAACGCACTTAACACCAAATGGCAGCTTTTCTCTAAAATTTACGAGTAATACGCAACTGACATTATTGTACAAAATCTTGAAAATTTGTGTCTTCCTCTGAAGCTATTGGAAAGAATCCAAATCATGGTTTGATGAGCAGATCAAAGAAGGATAGCCTGGATCTTAGAATTAACCATTGGCGGTACAGTTGTAAAGTTAACAAGGTAGATGAGTTTTAAATCCAAAAAATTGGACGATAAACAAAATACGTAAGAGACGTATAAATCTGTTTAATTTTAACTCTAGTAGTATCACGGGAGCGTGACTTGGCTAAATTTGAGTTTGAACATTAATAACATAGCAAATCGAAGAATTTCTAAAACAATTTATGATTGGCGCTTTTTTGATAACATGAACCCAACTGGAGAAAACTGGATCAATAGGAAAAGTTTTTACTCCGCTGAAATCTAAATTCCAATTTCGAAACTAGAAAATGTTCCTGTTTTTCGCTCCATTTCCCCCTTTGTATTTGGAGAGTGCTATTTATGTCGTTTTCAGCGGATGGATTTCAATTGAACTCAAAAAGTGCATTATATACTAAGGTCATTCATAAAGATATCAATATGTATGAGTGCACATCGGTAGTTATTAGAGACTTTAAAGACTTTTCCTGAAAGAAAAAAAAAATCGGCAAGATCTAAGAGTCTTTACTACGTTCATTACTATTCATCGGTTTTTTCCGAAAAATTCTAAAAGACCTTTCATAGAATTTAATTTAAAAAAACCTTCTGGACACATTGGATTTTAACCCAGGAGCTCCAGATCCAGATTACGGAACTCCTGACACGATCTTAAAGCGCCTTAAAAACAAGCGTCTGTGAAACGCTATAAAAACACGTTATTCCAAATAAACACGCAGAGAATAACCTAATCAAAAGTGTAAAAAAAATAGATTAAATTAAAATCTTTTGACTTGAATTTTTTTTTTCCGTGGAAAGCCCAACTTAAACACAGAAGCGAAGCTTCGCTTCGCAAACACTAGCGAGAACACGAATAAAAAAGCAGCCCTATAAACTGCAAAAGGAAATAATAGAAATAAGCGTAAAACGAGAGATAATTCGTCTACTTCTCGGATTCGATCTTCAAACGATCGCGAGCTAGAGTTTATGGGTCTCCCGCACTAATCACTGAGCCACAGACGCTTGATTGATCAGAAACACTAGCCAAAATAAAGCAGAGAACAGATGCTATGGAGTTTCCAATGCTACAGATTGTGATTATAGCTCAAAAGTGCCACCAAATAATGAACACTTTGCCATCAAATAATGTACACTTATTTGCGAGTAGATTAGAAAAAAGAAGTTTCGTACTAATACACTAGCTGCTGGCTAGTTTAATTAACTTTACCTTATTTTGAGACATTAAAAGAATTAAATGCGGTGATATATTACAATGGCTATATTATTCATTATAGTTCTCAAATGTAATACGTACTATGCTAAAAATTATCACATATTGTAACAAATCACCTTATATGATTGTGATAAAGCCGGTGACAAATTTTCACACAGACGGAGCATTACTTCCCAAAGCCGTCGAAAAATGGCAAAATAGAACTTTAAAATTGCATATATTACTAAAATATGTGATGAAGTTTGAAAAAATGCTGCCCTCCAGAATCGATGTCTTCACAATTGCGCCATAGTAACAGCCACCAATACAGCGGATTAAACACATGCTATAAAAATGCAACACTTTTTTTATGATAATGCCTAAAAAGAAAATGAAAAAAAATGCCGCTAAGAAAAATCTTCGAAGACTACGGGATCTGAGCCCAGACCTCCAGATCGAGAGTCTCGCAGCTTAGTACAAGAGCCTTCAACTGGGCTACATTAACGCATACTTTAATCTTAGATACCCAGCAACAAGGAATGCTCTTTAATAAGGTGAAAAAACCTAGCACATACTGTTTAATGAACACATGAAATTTAAGCTTAAATGTACGACTTGTGTTGGAAAAAATCGACCGATCTTATATCACTACGCTTTCAAGCTGGCTCGAGTCAAAACCGAAATAATACAATACAAAACCCCTCTCACCGACTCCCTCCCCTCAAAGATTACCTACACAGAAAATATCTGCTTAACCACAGTTAGACTATTTGTAATTATTGCTCACTTTGTGAATGTCTTCCTGATTGAACAGGTGAATTTCCACAGACTGTCCTCTGATGCTTCTGCAGTTATGCACGTCAATGTCCATCTTCTTCAGCACCTCCGTCACCTCCTCTGAGTACTCGTAGTCGAACACCACGTTCCCATTCACTGGCTTCAACTTCACCACATACTGGCCTGTTTTCGGCGTCTTCATCTTCACGTAGATCTCCAGTCCCGCGACAACCTGAAAAGACCCATTTTTGCTAAATCTTATTTCCTGAATTAACTAATTTTGATCAACGCAAGCATAACAAAGCAATACGCTTCAATTAAAGTCTGATTACATTATTATCATGACGAATTATCCACAGCGAGTTCTTATCTTTGAACTGATAGAAACACAACCATCGGCGCTTTTCAAATAACATATCAAATACCGACGGTGTTATTCGGAAATCGTATTAACTATTTTAAAATACTCTCATTTCTATTTTCGAGATTAAATAACCAGTCGAAATATAAGCCAACCAAAAATGCACGAAGTATATAAGCCTGCCGAAAAGTTACATCATATGAACGAATTTGGATAACTTTCGTAACTGTTACATAATTGTTTCATAACTATTATATAACAATTACGTCTTTTCGGCTGTTTGATATTTGGGCTGGTTTATATGCCACCCTGTTTCAAAAGCACCTTCTTGTGGAAACTGTCGATTAATTTCTGGATCTCGTCTTTTTCAGACACTCTCACTGAGAAATTGAATGGATTGTTTGAGAACACATCTAGAACGTTAACTCCACTAGACGCGAACTCCTCTTTGATTTGCTGGACAACCTCCTCTGGAATTTTGAAGTTACGACGTCTGGCTGAGACGTAAACTGTGAACAAGTCTTCAATCACTAGCTCCACCGGCTCATCTTCCGGCTGCTCTGTTTTTGGTGCATCAGCTAAAAAAACAAAGGTGAATGTCCCATTAGAATATCTATTAAGCAAGAAAAAAAAACAAATAACTAGTGCAGCGGGTCGCAGACGTTTTTGTAAATATGTTTGCAAAAAATGGGTTTTAAGCTACCAAAAATGTTGCGGTAAGTCGTGCGGTTTTATCCGGATTTTCAGCAGCGCGGCTTGTTGGTTTCGCACCGTTTCATTTTACAGTTTCAATTCATTTACAGCCAGACCTCTATTTGTTTCGAATACTGTTCAAGCGCGATTTTTTAATTAGAAAGTTTTCCTTTTCTTCTATACTCACTATCTATAATAAACACTAAGGATAGCCAGTTGCTGTGCAAGTAGCACTCCGATCACCAAATTAATAAACAAATAATTAAAAAATTAAGTTTTCTTTTTTTTTTTAAATTTGCGTCGTTTTTGTTCGTGGTGTGCTGATAGGATCTGAACGAAAGACTAAAATTTGATCATAATTGAAAGTTATAATCAATTCGAAACCTTCGAAAAAAATCTTCTTCCAAAATAGAACCAACAAGATGAAAATTCAAAGCATTTACTTTTAGACTTGCTTTTTTGGAATTTAGAAAAAAAATTATTCTCAAAGAAGGCGCTGAAAGAAACTCTAAAAGCTCTTAATTACAGGAGCAACACTACGTCTCATGCTTAAATAACATCTTATCCTCATATTACAAATTACAAGCCTTTTCGCTCGCTTTGCTTGCTCGAAATTTGACTTAATATCATACAATTCAAACCGGCTTTTCTCAACGGAAAAAAAGGTTTTCGAAACTTTTTAATGTCGTTGAAATCGCAACAGAACGGTCTTAAATCTGAAATATCATTTAACAAACTGCAATGATTATAAAACATAATTCCTCTCCACTTTCAGTGGTCGGATCGATTATATTCTCGTTAATCAAACGATAATACAAAGATTTATTCAAGTCAAGCCTGATAGCACTAGCAAGCCCACCTCCAATAATCAAACGGCTCGCAAAAAATTTGTTGTTTTTCTGATCAAGCTAAACAATAATGCAACTTCGGACAAATTCAAGTCAGCCATGTCGTAAATCGGTTTGAAATTTTTTTCAATTCCAAAGACCAAGTCGGTTCGCGGGACAATCTAGTTTTTTTTAGCAAGCTATTTAAGCCATGACCCTTGAAAAAATTTCAAATTATTTCATGTAGCAAATCGAATGGCGCAAAACTGAAGTTAATCTAATCAACCAAATTCAGCTTTAAAAGTGGTTTCTTAGACCCAAACGTTTTGCAAAAAGATAGTTTTTCTTAGCAAGATCTTCAAGCAATGAAAGTTTGAAAAACTTAATGTTAGTTCAGACCGAATCGTTTTCGAAGCTTTGACATATTCAAGGTTGTTTATTGACCAAATAAGTTCGCAAAAAGTTGGATTTTCTTAAAAAGATATTCAAACGATAAAAATTGGAAAAACGTTAACTTATTTCATAGAGCAAATCAGTCCGCGCGAAATCAAGCTTTTCTCAAGCAAGCTTTTCATGCAATGATACTTTAAAATGATATTAGCTACGTCAGACCGTATCGGTTTGCGAAATATAAAAACTTGTGTATACAGGCTTTTTCAGCGAAGAAACTTTGTGAAGTATTTCAGGTTGTTTCTGAGATCGAATCAGTTCGCAAAAAAATTAAACTCTACTAAAAGGAACCTATGGAAGCTATGAAATTTGAAACATTTCAAGTTATTTCAGGCCAAATCGAATCGCGAAAGGTTCAAGTTGTTCTAATGCAAGTAAATGATGTTAAAAAAAGCTAAAGTATTTCGACTTTGTTCATAGCTAGAATCGTTGGTGAAAAATTAAATTTTTCTTAAGCAAGCTAATTCAATTATGAAAAATTTCCAAGTTCTTTCATGGAGCGAATTGGCTTGCATCAATTTCAAATTATCCTAAGGCAAGCTATAAAACTTTTATGTCAAAATATGTCATAAAGCGAATCGGTTGGCAATAAGTTTCTCTATTGGAGCCATAAAGAGATGAAATGATTCACGAAAAACTAAAATTTGTCCAATACAAGCTGTTTAAAATTTGAAACACTTCAACTTCTTTCTATAAGCGAACCTGTTCGCAAAAATTAAATTTTATAAACAAGCTATGAATCTTTGAAATAGTTCAAGTAATTTTATAGACCGAATGGGTTCGCTAAAAATTAAATTTTCTACGTAAGCTCTTCAATCTATGAATTTTTTTTAAAAATTTCAAGTTAATTCATAGACCGAATCGGTTCGCGACAGTTGAAAATTTTCTGAACAAGTTATCGGTTCGCAAAAAGTTAAGTTTTTCTAAGCAAGCTATTCAATCTATGAAACTTTGAAATAATTCAGGTAAGTTCATAGACCAGGTGGGTTCGCTAAAAGTTGAAATTTTCCTATGCAAGCAATTCAAGCTATCAAACTAAAAACTCAAGTTTTTTCATTGACCGAATCAGCTGGCTAAAAGTTAAGTTTTTCTAAGCAAGCTATTCAATCAAGGAAACTTCGAAAATTTCGAATTATTTCACTGACTGAATCGGTTCACAAAAATTTTATAACTTTTTCTAAGCAAAATATTCAAGCAATGGCGCCTTTAAATAATTCAAGTAAGTTTATAGACCGAATGGGTTCGCTAAGAGTTAGGGTTTTCCTATGCAAGCAATTCAAGCTATCAAACTGAAGCATTAAGTTTTTCTTAGACCGAATCAGTTCAAAAAAAGTTTTTCTAAGTCAGCTACTTAGGCTATGAACTTTGGAAATATTTCAAGTTATTTCATAGACTGAATCAGTTCGCAAAAAATCTAGTTTTTCTAAGCAAACTATTCAATCTATGAAACTATGAAAGTTTGCAAAATGTTTCACAGACCGAATGGGTTCGCGAACATTTCATAAGTTTTTCTACAAAAGCTATTCAAGCTATGAAACTTTGAAATGCTTCAAATTCTTTCATAGACCGAATCAGCCCACAAAAAGCTAAATTTTTCTAATCAAGCTATTCAATCTATGAAACTTAAATTATTTTCAAATTAATTCGTAGACCGAATCGCTTAGCGGAAAGTTTACTCTCAGCAAGTGTTTCAAGCGATGAAACAGTGAAATATTTCAGGTTATGTCATAGATTGAATAGCTTCAAGAAAAGCAAGATTTTTTAAGAATGGAGGGTGGTGTTTCTGGTTGATTCGATTCAGACTGAAATGAATCTGTAAACGCGAAAATTTTGACAAAATGGGCAAGCACTGTCTAGACTTGAAATTTCAGATCATTTTGTTTGAAGCAGCTCGAAATTTTCCAAACAATTCCTTAAGTAACCCAGACTTTAGAATATTCGATCGTGGCTCTAAATGATTCTTAGAAGTTTTGATGTCAACCTTTTAAAATGTTGCGCTCGATAATCCCTTAAGCATTAGGCCTCATGCTAAATTGATGTCAATGATGTCAAGTTTTTGAGCAAAGCAGGCCATAAAATTAAATTAACTGCAGACCAATTTGGTGTCTTGAATAATTTTGCAAAAAGTTGGATTTTTCGAACAACCTATGCAAGCAACCAAAGCAAAGAGAACTTTGAGCGATGAAATTCTGACAACAGATCTGATGGATTCGCAAAAAAGCCTGAAATTGTCCACCTAATCTATTCAAAACATGAAAACCTGTACAAAACACTGGGCAAAAACTGGTCAAACCCCATTCTAGGCCAAAAAAAATTCTCACTCTTTCTAGTTTTCCCAACATAAATTACTGAATTGACTTCAATTCAGAACCAGCAAAAAGTCAAATCAAAATTACTTTTAAAGATTGTTTCACTGTCTATAGAGACAGCTCAATGAGGTAAAAGAAAAATCATGAGACATATTTTACATATCTCAACTCATCGCAGCCTACACACACCTTCCTCTTTAACATCCACACCCGGGGGATTCTCTTCACCGTGTGGTGCCCCTTGTCCATTTGTCTCTTCACTCAGTCCCGCCTCTGTTTTCACCATCTTCGTCGCCCTCTCTTCGTCCTCGTGGCCTGTCATTTCCGATTTCCGTTTCATCGTAACGTCATCACCAGCCGCTACTCCGTTATTGTCAGTTCCTGAGACCGAATCGAACATTGTCGCGTTCTCGCCCTCAAGTTGGTTGTGCGACTGGTTGTTGTCGGCGGCAGCGAAATCACCGCTCATATTCTATCTGCAAAACAATTCCCTTTAAAGAGAAAACAAAAGTATACGCAAAAAGTGTTCAATTATCAAACTAATTTACAGACAACACGCAATCATGACTAGTCTCATTATTAGGTTCGGATATATTACCAGCCTACCGCAATTAGCTGCCTTAGAAAATTCGGCTGTATACCGTTCAAAACAGCGAGCCGTTTCATTTCATTTGATGATTTTAAAAATATATTCATATTCGAACTTAATAGATGAAACTAGTTCTCGAAAATTTCGTCTAACATTTTTCCCATATCTATAGACCGCTTTTTAGGTTTATCTTGAACCAGAAGCTCTTTTTCGTCATCTGCCACCGAAGAATATGAGAAATGGAGAGCCGAGTAGCCGAGAGAAAGAACTAACGCTGAGAAACCACAACAACAAACGGCAACAACGCCGAAGGATTGATTGAGCGCCGAGTACGACACGCATGACGAATGTGACGAGTCTTCCATTTTTGGTTTAAAGTCACAGGATTGGTCAAAAATTAGACCAGTCACGAGCGGCGCTGGACTGGTGCCTAGAAGACGGAGCATAAAAAGAGCAATTCCAAATCCGAAGGAGCGATACTGAGGCATTACAACTCGGTCAATTGCAGTTGTGATTGAGGGGTAGATGAAAAACGCGATAAAACACATTACACTAAGCACTGAGGTGAAAATATAGAACAGCGCCGTGCTGCAGCTTTCTTTCGTGGCACAGTTTCCAGATACAAGAGTCTTTTTCTGGTCACCATCGAAGCACCCACAATTCTCTATATTATCGTCAACACAACCATAGAAGCACGGGTTGTACAGCGAAACTCTCTCGTCCATACAATACGGCTTAAAAACGAGCGGATCGCATTTGCACTCGGTGACATTACAAGTTGATCCTTGGTAGATATACACATCACTAACATCGATGTCATTTGTGCTTGAACAAGGAAAAAGCAGTGCGAACGACAACAAAAATGTAACCATAGAACCGAACAAACAGACCAGAAAAATATCTTTAAAGGAGAAATTCAGTAACTTCGGCAACGTCGAGCTCAATACAACGGCTATAACAGAAGTCGGGAATAAAATAACAGCGCAGTACAGTGAAGCTACCTTAGGCGAGACGGAAAAGAGAGCTTGAGCTAACTTGGGTCCAAACATAGCAAGCGCAGTGATGAAGAAAGCCGACGCTGTAGACGCAATGATGAGCGACATATATACAGGATTTGTCAAGAGATGCTTCACTCCTTGGTAGACATCTTTGAAACTCATGTCGTTGAAGGAGTCGCCTGTCCTTTTCGATTCTATTGCTCCGTACGAGTAAGCAACTTCTTTCGACTTACGAATTTCAGCTGCATTCGGGAGCTCGCGCGGGAACCCAAAAATAGGAATTGCAGCTAGGAACTGAATCAGGGCTATGAAAGCTATTCCTAGCCAATAAGCTCCTATAAATGACGGACTGCTTTGCAAGTTTTCGTACTGTGCATCTGTCAGACGGGAGTATTTATCTTCATGTTTTGCTATATCGTCAAACGGGAGTCGGAGAAAAAGCCACCCAAAAAGATATCCAAGTCCAGGTCCCCACACAGCTGTCATTGCGAAGATTGCGTTATAAATTAAGAAGTCCTCGTCCGACGAGTTCTTGTCTAAGTAGTCAAACGAGTTCGCCCAGAGCGCTGAATTTCCAAATCCCATGACTATGACTCCCAAGTAAAACACTGAAATCCAGTGGCCTAAATCCTTCGCAGGTTTCACCTTAAACACAAAACATAAACAAAAAACTGTTGTAAAATAGTCAATGAACGCAAATAGACAGAAAAAAATCTCCATGAATTTCCATGAAAAAACATATCCCCAACAGCTGTTTGAAATTCTGGAACAAGATATGATTGAGACACCTTTTGATAAAAATAACCGAAGATGAGAAAACTGGATCAATAGAATAGGTAGAATTTTTATGTCGCTGGAAAATCAGACACAGAGGCGAAGCATAGCTTTGCATCTCTTGCATTACAATGAAAGCGTAGTGTTGCAAATTACCAAATAGACAGTGAGATGGAAAATACGAAGCCGAAAGAAAACTTGAAAAAATCAACAATGTTTTTGGAAAAACGAAAAAATTCAATCTGAGGAAAACAGACGAGAATAAATACATCAATCTTTTCAAACATGAAGCTCAATGACAGCGATAAGGTAGCTGAGCCACAATACAAAAGATCGCAAGAAAAATAACGACACCCGTTAATGAAAACGAAACAAGAAAAATCATAACTTTCCAAACATTTCTTCTTGAAACATTCAGTCGTAAAATTTACGAAACAACCGCCAAATACCTTCGTAGATCAAACAACTAAGTCAAAAAATGAAAGCAACATTTTCCGGAAGTTTATTCTGGTGTTTTTACAAAAATTTGCTCAAAAATTAAAAAATCTTTAAAAAAGTTTCAAAGTTTTTTCTTTTCAAACTGAACCTTTTAGCGTGTATACAAAAGAATGGTAAAAAGAGTGTGTATTAAAAAGCGTTTGCGTGTGTAACGCTCTTCGAATTGAAACAAACAATTATTTGATTGGAATTATATTAAAAAAACATCCCCCAAATAAGCCAACAATAATTGGGTCTACAAAAAAATTTCACTATCAGATCTCGCAACGCATCAACTCCAGACACCAACGGGAAAAAGTCTAGTACCCGATTATATTACCCTTGCTTATCGTAAGGGTAAAGAAAAGTTGTTTACGAGCAAAAAGCCTAGTTCCCGATTACAATACACTTGCTGTCTCAAGTGTAAAAATTAAATTCCACTTCAAAGTTAGAAGTCGATCACGTTTATTTTGACCTCTACATTTTTGCTGTTGGATAGTGGAGTTTGACTTCCTTCTTACAAAGAAAATGAACTGAACTTAAAAAGAAATCAGAAGTCAAATCGCGAAGAAAAATTAAATTTGAGCCTGAACAAACTTTCCCTGAAAAAAAATCACCGCGACCTATATAAGAGTCTGAACTACGTTTGTCTACTCTTAAACATTTTATTTACCCCAAAAATTCAGTCATTCAGTCTCTTCGCCTAAAAAGTGTTTCTGTCATGCCTATTTCTCCCAAACCCCTTGGTAGATGACAGTTTTTTAAATATGATTTCGCACCCCATCAAATAAATTTTTCTAGCAATATTGACAAATATCATGAACTTTGACCAACTTAAATTATTGTAATTGTAATGCTGCATGAAAAGTTCATTTCGTGAAAAAAATCGAATTTGAGATTAATTAGAGTTTGAGATCAAACGAACCATTCGGCCGTTTAGCTCTCCCAATCACAATAAAAAAACTCGATGTAACTGGAATCTGACTAGAAGATTTCAAGAAAAAACTTTACCTCGAATTGAGGAGTGCAGTATCCTGGCTCGTAACTTTCGGCATGGGCCAACAAATGCTCCATCACTGACGGCTCTCCAACTGTAGCAAAATGTGGGATCAGCAGAACCAGCGTTCCCAGTACCTGGACGAGCAACCCAATGGCCAGAATGCGCGGCTGAGATGATCGGCCTCCGATGTAGGAAAGCGGTAGCAAAGGTATTAGCGATGAGAACTCAAATAAAGCCGGTATGAATGAGGCTTGTAGACTAGTCACACCGAATCTAGCTTCAATGGCACTAAACGAGGCTGGTAAGAGCCCGTTAGTAAGAGCACCTTGTAAAAGACCAGAAATCGAGACACAGAGTGTGAAAAACTCCAGCCTGTTAAGGGGTTGCAGTAGTTTCGGACGGAAACCGAAAACACCAAATGACGTGCTTTGGACTGCGACCATTTTGTTTATACAATTTTTGTTTAAGCAATTATAAATAGAGAAATGAATGAAGGCACATTTGGTTGAACCAACTGACTTATCATTAAAACTCAACCGAATGTTTTCTTTACGCAGTTGAAATCAGTTTTCGAGCTTATGCGCACAATATTGAATATATCTATTTTTAATAGTACTGCTTTTAAACAATCTAATTTTGAATTACCTATACATAATTTTCATACCGTTTTCTACGTTCGATGATATATTCAACTCCAATAATACATTTGTATAACCGAACTGTTTAAAAATATCGGAATATCTATCATAAGAACCGGTTGCTGTTTTTTTGTAGTTTTGTGCGCAGTCAGATGAGAGAACTATACGAACGCATAGGACATTAGAAAATAAAATACCATCGACAGTAGTTATCTTCGAAAATGAACAACTAACAAAAAAATCTTTACAAAATTTAGGCGGTACAATTTTTTAAAATTTTTGTAAGCTTTTTGTTGCCAGAGAAGCTTTTTCATTGAATTAATGAAAACTTTTAGTCTACTTTCGGGCGAGTAAAGCGAGCGAGTGGGTCTTAAACTACTTCGAAATTAGACTAAAACTCAAAAACTTCAAATAGGTTTTTCTCGACATCGAGAAAAATTTACGATTTTCAAGGTCGTTAAAATCACGAATGAAAGGGCTTGAACATGATATTTCATCAAAACCTTTCCGATGATTATTTTTGGTACCTGGTTTTGCGTGTAAAACAAAACATAGCCAACGGGGAGTTGGAAAAAAGTCAATGAACACAATTAAAAAGAGAAAAAAAATCGCTTTTTGAAAATCTCAATTTTCGAATTTCTAAGAAAAAAATAGATGCTCTTAAATAAACAAAATCAATTTAAGAAAAGAAAAGCACTAACATAATGCACAAATGTGTCATGTAATTAAATCAAAAATGGTAAATTACCAAAAGACTAAAAAATGCCATTTCAAATGGCAGGGAATGTTGAAAAGTCTGGAATGATCAAGGAGTCTGGCGTTGATATGTGGCCGCGGAATTGAGGTAAGAATGAATGCTCTTAAAGCTCTTTGAATTTCTAACGTGACCTTTACTCCGTTGCTGTTCGATAGTGCAGTTTGCCTTCTTCTTAACAAAGGAAATGAAGTGTACTACTACTATTAAGCGAAAAGGTGAATTTGAGCCGGAACAAATTTTAAGACTAAAAAAACAATAATCGCGACCTATATACGAAACTGAACTACTTTCATTGAGTTTTTTGTGACCTTTACTTTGAGTTTTTTGTGACCTTTACTCCGTAGCTGTTCGATAGTGCAGTTTGCCTTCTTCTTAACAAAGGAAATGAAGTGTACTACTACTATTAAGCGAAAAGGTGAATTTGAGCCGGAACAAATTTGAAGACTAAAAAAACAATCATCGCGACCTATATACGAAACTGAACTACTTTCATTGACTCTTAAAAAAACAATTATGACGGTTATTGAGCACCTGTCACAGAATGTTCCAAACAGATTTATAATTTTCCAAAAAGAACGTTCGCAAACAACATCTACTTTTTTTTAAATTTTGTGTCGTTTTTGTCATTGGTGTGATGAGATATTTACACAAATGCATAAAAATTAAGCCAATTAGGCTTAATCGTGAACAATTGGCTTGAAAAAATGAATAACAGACAAAAACTCATCTAGAAATAAATTCGAAAAAAAAATGAAAAATGTCAAAATATTAGTCTAGTAATTTTACAAGAATTTCTCATTATTTTAAAACATTTTTTGACTGAGGTAGCGCTAAATTAAGTTTTCAATAAAAATTTCCTATAAAAATTAAGTTTATTGAGACCAAACATCCAACTGAATAACGAAATGTCCAACTTTGATATAACGCACGCTACTCGATTGCGTTCTTCGCATGCTTAGACTAAATCTCACAAACTGCAAACCAGTTTTCCACGACACTAAAACAACTTATTGAATATTTCGGCTCTTTTTCCTTCCCCCCACCTGCAAATTTTTACATGTAAATTTGTTGACCACATTGTTCGATTGTTATAAAAATTTACATACAGACTAATAAGGCAACGACAAATATATTTGGTCTTCATACTCAACCTCGTAAAACCACTCGTTACACTAATATATTGAAGCTCGGGTGAGGTGTGTGGGGGGGGGGGGGGGGGGGAGGAAAAAGAGCCAATATTTCAAATGTGTTTCGAATTACGACTGATAGTGCGCCGTCCGTGTCCGTGCACAGGTTGGATAAGGCCATATCAACGCTATTTAAACAGATTTTTGCTAAAATGTATTTTAGAACATTTTATGACCGAGGTAGCGCTAAATTAAGTTTTCAACAAAATTCTCCTATAAAAATAAAGTTTTTTTGAGACTAAATTTCTAACTTTGATATAACGCACGCTACACGATTGAATAGCCAACGGAGAGTTGGAAAATGGAAACAAAACAATTATGGAAAACAAAAACACTTATTTTGTTCTCATATATTTTATTGTGTCCGAGTACGATTCGCTCCGCTTAGTTTCTCAGCTGGTTTCTGGACAATTTTCAGCTTAAAACCAAACAAGGGAATTGCCAATTAAAATTGACCCTCCTCGATTATAGCGATGATGGAATTATCTATGTTGGATGTCTTTTTTGGTTTTTTGCACCCCCTGAGGCAGAGGATTGCTTTGCTAAGACGTGCAAAATTTATTTGTTCTCATAATTTATATTTTGTCCGAGTATGATTCGCTCCACTAAGTTACTCTGCTAATTTTTGGACGACTTTTCTAGTGCCTGGTGCTGCTCCTCCGGTACACGCTATAATCAGTGAAACTGTTCGTTTCCCCGGATTGGCACAGTCGAACCAACCGATGCAAACGGAAAAAGACGTTAAAGACGTTAACAGTGAACTCGTTATAAAAGGAGGGTCGGTATATTCTAGAATTTAATTTTTTTCAATTTTTCGATTGGAGCTAGGATATTTCTCAGTAATGTAAGAACGGCCATTTTGCCCGGAAAAAAAACAAGAAAAAAAGACAACCGAATTAACAAGACGAAAATATATTTTATGTTGGATGAAAATCAAATGAAGAAAAGCACTAAAAAATACGAAGCCTCCTCTCATCGTGGTACTAAAACACGATAAAACGCTCATCTGAGAGCGATCATACGGAAAGCCCACGAAATCGGGAAGACAACGACATTGACACCGGGGAATACTGAATTGGAGGCTCGGTGTCTAGAGACTATTATAAACTGTTACAGAATTTTAGAGACATTTTAGCTGCTGTAATGCCCTGAACGATTTAATTAACTCCAATGTTCTATATTATTTCAGAGCATGAGTAGTTAGAAACTGGAAAGAGCCAATCCATCTCCAATGGATTTACTATAAACATGTCAGTGAAAACGTAGTAAATTATGGTTTTTCAGCCATGTTTTTAGTGATAATCATGCAGTCTGGGGATCCGAGACCCAGTTACGTGGTTATTTTCGCATGTAATAACGAAAGCTGATAAAAAAAACCGTTTGGTTGATGGCTTAAAACTGATAACTTTTTAAATTGACCTAAGCAGACCGGTAAACTAACTGGCTAGGTCTAGACGGTTAAAAACGAGTAGAACTAGGTTAACTGACGCCCGCCAGTCGTCAATAGAGACATATTTTAGTCGGAGGGTTATGTGGGAAGTCTAAAACCCGCTTGTATCGAGGCCCCGAGACCAAAAACAATTAAAGAGAAAGCCTGAAAACAAACAAAAATAATGTATAGCCAAGAAAAAGCCAAAAACAAATTTAATTGTAAACGGAAAAAACTAACAGTAAAAAAACGCAAAAAAGACCAAAAACAGCTAAATACAAAAAAAAATGACAGTTTATATGATATTTCCGGCCGAGATGTGATCTGACTTCCTATTTGTTGTTGTTTCAGATTGATTTATATCATTTCTGATAGAAAGATCGAGTATTTTTCTAAATGGATACGTACCCTCTCTCGAGTGTTGTTTGAGTATTTAAGCACGTTAATGATAATTTTTCCGGTGACCGGAGGGTAGAAGAGAGAGTGGCAAGCAGACTGACGTTTTCCAGACACAACAGAGGACAACAGTGACACCATACCCAACGACTGTTGGGTAACGTTGACACAATTGTAACATTCTATTTTATTGTGTCCGAGTACGATTCGCTCCGCTTAATTTCTCAGCTGGTTTCTGGACAATTTTCAGCTTAAAACCAAACAAGGGAATTGCCAATTAAAATTGACCCTCCTCGATTATAGCGATGATGGAATTATCTATGTTGGATGTCTTTTTTGGTTTTTGCACCCCCTGAGGCAGAGGATTGCTTTGCTAAGACGTGCAAAATTTATTTGTTCTCATAATTTATATTTTGTCCGAGTATGATTCGCTCCACTAAGTTACTCTGCTAATTTTTGGACGACTTTTCTAGTGCCTGGTGCTGCTCCTCCGGTACACGCTATAATCAGTGAAACTGTTCGTTTCCCCGGATTGGCACAGTCGAACCAACCGATGCAAACGGAAAAAGACGTTAAAGACGTTAACAGTGAACTCGTTATAAAAGGAGGGTCGGTATATTCTAGAATTTAATTTTTTTCAATTTTTCGATTGGAGCTAGGATATTTCTCAGTAATGTAAGAACGGCCATTTTGCCCGGAAAAAAAACAAGAAAAAAAGACAACCGAATTAACAAGACGAAAATATATTTTATGTTGGATGAAAATCAAATGAAGAAAAGCACTAAAAAATACGAAGCCTCCTCTCATCGTGGTACTAAAACACGATAAAACGCTCATCTGAGAGCGATCATACGGAAAGCCCACGAAATCGGGAAGACAACGACATTGACACCGGGGAATACTGAATTGGAGGCTCGGTGTCTAGAGACTATTATAAACTGTTACAGAATTTTAGAGACATTTTAGCTGCTGTAATGCCCTGAACGATTTAATTAACTCCAATGTTCTATATTATTTCAGAGCATGAGTAGTTAGAAACTGGAAAGAGCCAATCCATCTCCAATGGATTTACTATAAACATGTCAGTGAAAACGTAGTAAATTATGGTTTTTCAGCCATGTTTTTAGTGATAATCATGCAGTCTGGGGATCCGAGACCCAGTTACGTGGTTATTTTCGCATGTAATAACGAAAGCTGATAAAAAAAACCGTTTGGTTGATGGCTTAAAACTGATAACTTTTTAAATTGACCTAAGCAGACCGGTAAACTAACTGGCTAGGTCTAGACGGTTAAAAACGAGTAGAACTAGGTTAACTGACGCCCGCCAGTCGTCAATAGAGACATATTTTAGTCGGAGGGTTATGTGGGAAGTCTAAAACCCGCTTGTATCG